TATGTTTTGTCCTAGTACAATGCTGCATAGACGGTATGTAATATGAACTACGCGTATGATTAGAAAATGCAAAAGAACGCACCATGCGTTTTTGGTTTGATTGTTTCTGTTGTGAAAATTTCGATCTCAATAATAGGCCTGAATGACCAAATAAAAGTCAATATGGAATGGAAAGTTTAAGTGAAAGCGACTTTACTAAAAAATCGCCTGGACAAAGAGTCCTGTTTCCAGACTAATCTATCTATATAAATAAATAGATGATAGAGGTTTGCAGTAGTGTGCGCGTCACGAAAAAACTACGGGATAGATTTCTATCAAGTTTTCTAAGTTTTATTTCTTAGACTCTTTCTTAGACACTTCGACACATATCTAAAAAATATTGCGATATTTTCATTTAATATAAAGTTATTAAAGTTTAAGATTTTTATACGGGGTTTTTCAAACGGTCAAGTGTACGTCTCTTGCTCTCGCATTACTTACACAGATAATTTATATATTTTAGCTGCAAACGGAGCAATGATTAACATTGATTACAAAGAAGTTTTGTAAGCAAAGTATATTTTTGCTTGCGATCTTTTTGATGTTTTTTTCCTTCGCACGTACGAAAACTTTGTTAATATATCAAGCAACATGGACGAAGTCGCGGGTATCAGCGGTAGTAGAGATATAAATGAACTTCAATGAAATTGAAAATGATAGAAGTGCTTTACTATGAATTATTTAAATAAAATTTGTCCATATTTTTTATTATTATTTTTTAATCCGCAATTTTTAGTTGCATGATTTAAATTGTTAATAACCCCATAAGTCCATAGCCTACATGTGTGCTTTAGTAAGAAATAAGGGGAGAGTTATCACATATTTCACCTATATTGCAAGTAAACGATCACTTTATATTGAAATATACAAAATTTTATCTAGGGTGTCTCACAAGTCCACTACTTATACTCTCGAGGCTGAACTGCGAATCAGATTAAAGGACTAATATTTCCTTTTGCATTTGTACCCTGATACCGCTCTCGGGTCGAATCAATTGCTGACGGCTCTGTGGCGAAGTGGATTAGCAATGAGTTGTTGCGCTGGGAGCCTCGGGTTTGAATCCCGCACGGAACAAGTATTTGTATGGCCTACAAATAATTGTTCCAGGTCTGGATGTCTGCCGTCGTGCAATTAATGTTTGTAAACTGCCTCCACGACACAGGAGAAAATACTAGGGTGGGGGTAACATTTAAAAAAAAAGACAGAATAAATAAAAGAGTTTGCCCCAGATGTCCCTAAAAACTCTTAAAAGAAGAATAATTTCCATTCATCAAACCAACCCAAATGTCCCTACCTCCGAGAGCCACGTTTATATAGTTTGTTTTCTTATCATTTTCGCCTCTTACTAGGTTCATCATAATTCTTGTTATATGATTTGGAAATGTGGGCGATGTGTTATAAAAAGTTAATAAAATAACAAAGGTGATGGAAAAATAAAAAATAAAAATCATAAAATAATGTCCTTGATACCAATACACCTTGATTTTATACGTGGTAGAGCCATGCTGCAGCTATATTATATACGTGGTAGAGCCATTCAGCAGCTATATTATATACGCGGCAGAGCCATGCTGCAGCTATATTATATACGTGGTAGAGCCATGCTGCAGCTATATTATATACGTGGTAGAGCCATGCTGCAGCTATATTATATACGCGGCAGAGCCATGCTGCAGCTATATTATATACGTGGTAGAGCCATGCTGCAGCTATATTATATAGGTGGTAGAGCCATTCAGCAGCTATATTATATACGCGGCAGAGCCATGCTGCAGCTATATTATATACGTGGTAGAGCCATGCTGCAGCCATATTATATACGTGGTAGAGCCATTCAGCAGCTATATTATATACGCGGCAGAGCCATGCTGCAGCTATATTATATACGTGGTAGAGCCATGCTGCAGCTATATTATATACGTGGTAGAGCCATTCAGCAGCTATATTATATACGCGGCAGAGCCATGCTGCAGCTATATTATATACGTGGTAGAGCCATGCTGCAGCTATATTATATACGTGGTAGAGTCATGCTGCAGCTATATTATATACGTGGTAGAGACATGCTGCAGCTATATTATATACGTGGTAGAGCCATGCTGCAGCTATATTATATACGTGGTAGAGCCATGCTGCAGCTATATTATATACGTGGTAGAGCCATTCAGCAGCTATATTATATACGCGGCAGAGCCATGCTGCAGCTATATTAGTTATGCAGTTGTAGCACGAATGGTTCGGCTCGACCGGGGAAGGACCACGCTCTCACAGAATACCAGCGTAAAATAACAGCTTAGCACTGCTGTGTTTCGTATGGTGAGCGTAGAGAACCGGAGACCCTTTTTACTGGAAACGAGGCATTCCATCTTAGTCGTCACGGGTGACAACGCATCTGCACTTTGATTCCTAATCAAAGATAGATGTAGATGTCTATGGGCCACAGCAACCACTTACCATCAGGTGGACTATGTGCTTGTTTGTCAACCTTATCCTATAAAAAAGAAACCAAATTTCTGTAACGACAGCCAGTAAGGCAACGCGACGCAACGGAGACTAGCCATCTGCGCAGGACAGGATTATAGTGCTCTCTGCTGAGTGTATGCGCAAGCACAGGTGCACTCTCTATTCTCTCACTCTCATAGTCCGATGGGACGGCAATACAATACGACCGGAGGGAGAGATCAGGGGACTGGTCTAGCAGTTTTATGTGCTTTCCGAACCTGGGTGGTCAAACACCGACAGCTTCTAGACTTCGGCCTGCTACTTAAAATTCCTTGGCAGAAAATTCCAATAAATTGGATTCGAACCTAAGACCATGACCATGTGGGTCAGTGTCGTGTTAACGACCACTGGACTTATAAGGCAGTCAACTTATTAAATAGACTATGATAAATGAAATAAGATACGAAAAAAGAAGATATGCAAAAATCACCCTTAATCATCGTACGTAAAGAGCTTATGTAATCTGTACATTAAATGTATATTTATGTCGTTACACGATTTCATGTTTCCCTGGTACTTGCATACGTAATTATCGAAAGGGAATGAAGGGGAGTGTGCGGCTTACTATAAAAATAAAACGACATGAAATATTAATTACTACCGAATAAGTAATATTGATTTGCGTAACCGGGTGGCGGGAACACGGCCGTTCCATTCATTCACTCGTAGAGAGAATGAGTCATTGGCGGGCAGTGTCCTCAGTTTACAAGCTGCGAGACCCCGTATTCTCCAGTAAGCATATGTTGCCATAAAATACTAGTATATTGTAGTACTATCACAGGTATTACTCCGAAATTCTTTGTTTCAGACAAACTAAGCTTTTTTTAATGGCTTAAGCATTTGTTTGATTAATGGGACTTGCAATTTGTTTGATGAAAAGAATATCATGGTTCAACGTATGAACAAAATTATCTTTTATATTTACGCGAACACTACACATTAAATGAAACAAATTTTAGGGATTTTATCGCGTTTGATTTTAACTTTTTAATTGCCGATGTTTCGGGTGCTTTACAGCGACCATGGTCACGGGGGGTGACTGAGGTGTTTGACGTACCGATGTCATAGTTATACAGGTTACCTTCTTAAGCTTTTGAATATTTATTTGGGTGTCGTAAAGCACCCGGAACGTCGGGAATTAAAAAGTTAGCCCTTTTTTTTCCCGACGACCGATTTAATTTAATTTGACGTTTATAATTAGTAAAAAGAGACTTACAAACAAGCTATCATACACAGAAATTATCTTTTTGCAGTGCTTGAAAGTGATTTGAGCGAAGAACAATGAAACGAGATCGTCGTTACTCGATAAAAAAGTTGTTTCGAGTACTAAAATCTTGAGAGATTCGCAAAGAAATTTTGAGGGGTTTAGTTTTGTTTGTGAGCAACCCTGCGGCGTGTATGGTGTGGCGCATGCGTGCTGTGTGCGTGGGTCGATAGGTCGTGCTTCACGCCAGTCCGTGCCGCGCCGGGCCACAGCGAGCCCGCCGCGCCGCCATGAAGGCGCGCGCGCTTTTCATCTTGTGCACTGCGATATTCGCCGCCATATCCCTCGGAAATGCCGAGAAGAGCAAGTTCTGTAAGTATTCAACCTCACAATCACTCATCAGTTTTATATCTATTCGCACATTTTGTCTGTCACGCCGTTTTACCGCCCGGCGTCCGTAGAACGCCCCCTAGCGGTTGGCGGTTTAAAAGAAAGTTCGCGTTTCGCGGTTTAGATGACTCCATTTTGAGCCAATTTTGCGTTTTGATTATCGCATCGTAATGTACACAACCAAACTTTATGTACAAAAACCATTAACTAAATGAAAAAAAATATATATTAAAAATATATTTTTTTTTATAAAAATTTAAAAAGCAAGGTTTAAAAGTGTAATAAAAGTGTCTTAAGCCATCTACAGTTTGGGGTTATCAAATTATTTTACTATTATTTAAAGTAATACACCGCAATTTAGGTCGCCAAATAAAACGAAATGATTAGACAGAAAGAACCATTTAGGGGCTATTATGTACGTAAAATTACAGCGGCTCATAACGGAAATAGGTCATAGAGACAATACGAAATGAAGCATGGCACGCCGCGCCGCCCTGCGCGTGTGTAATATCGTATACAATTCATTACGCTACGCTCTAGTTCTGTGACCGGCATAGGATATTGTTATTTAAGCCTTCTTCGGTATTAGATTGCAGAAGTTATTTTGTATAGCAATGGAAGCCTTGATCAATTTTGACTACAAAGATTCATCTACAAAATGAGTAGCTTATTAAAAAAATATACCTTAACACTTACACCAAACTAACACCAAACTATGCATAGATGTAGGTATAGAAATTATAAATATTTAAGTATCATAATTTATTGTTGTTCAATAACAAGCTAATATCACACCAAAACTATAAACATCGTGAAAATACTGTTGACATTAGATAACCTATTTCCATCATCATAGCGTTAAATGCTACGTACTAAAATACTTGTTGATTTTTTGCCAACCTTCAGATAACTTGCTTGCAATCTTGTCTACTGGACCGGGTCCGCCGCAATGCCTATGCGATCCTGCAAGTAGAACTGCTTCACTTGATTTGAGCTTTAGACCCTTTTCTATGTTAACGTGCAATCCACTATTAACACTCGAACCCCCGGAACTTGTGGCTACTGTCATCACAGACGGAAGACCTGGAATTCTTGACAGTTCGACCTCGGTTTGATCTTGGCTTAAGTTGATGACGAGTAAGAGGGAACCGGTGCCGCCCCATCTTAACACTGCGATTGCATCTCCGAGGCGTTTTATCTAAAATTAAGTTTATTTATTTAAGGAAATATTAATTTAGATGATATGTAAGATTTCATCTACATTCATTTACATTTAGTATGTAGCCTTAACGTTGGTAAACTGATTTATAAATCTCCTACTATATTATACGGAGGCTCTAAATCTCATCCTTTTTGTCAGAGTTTCTAATATTTGATACAGTTACAAATGGCGGATCTGAGGTTGATCACACCTTCCTGCACTTGATTAGTTATCTCTTATTAAATTTTTTATTCAGTCTTATCGGTAGATTTTACAATGATTGTAAAAGTAAAGGTAAATTTACAACAATATATTTACTTCCCGCTTCTAGGCACCGGCCTACTCACATATCTGAAAGGGTTTTATGGTAAGGAAGTATGCCTTAATGAGAGGTGGCAGACATTACATGTCTTCGAAGATTTTTTAATTTTTCAGAAAAAAAATTCCTAGCGATGTTTTCCTTCACCGCTAACGTTAATCAGCACTTAAAATTGCAATTAACTATTTTATTGTTGCCGGCTGGGATCGAACCAGGGACACTCGAGTACTGTAAAATTTACAACGAGCGCTTAGCGCCTAGATAACTCGGCTCGAGTCTTTGCTCGATGCCAATTTGAAATCTGGTTGAATTTCGATAAGATAATTTAAATTCATTCTATAAGAAGTTTACTGTGTAAACAATTCTACGGATTTTACCAAGAAGTTGCGGCTTAAATGTTACCCTTAGCATGGCATGGACAGTACTCCATAAGTACGATTTATGTAACTTCGGTATACCCTTTTAGTCTTATTTTCTTTATTCGACCGATAAAATAGATCCATTTGATTTGGGCGGGATAGATTACTTCAACAATCATGGGAAGTTAACATTAAACATATCAGAAAATTATATTAAACATAAATGCGACAATTAGTCATTTGGTGGCATTGTAATAAAAACTTATTTAGTCTGGACGTGCCTTTGTTTACCTTAATAAATGTAATCTATCAGACCCGTCTCTAAAGATTTAAGAATGTGATAATATGCCTTCACTTATAAAGAACGTGCATCGCATTATTTTTCCGTACGAGCAACTTTGAATTTAAATCTAAAATTCAAGCAACAAATAGAGTTGAACACTGGGGAATATATAATAAAGTATGTACACTTTGCCATGTTTTTTTTATAGGATAGGGTGACAAAAGAGCACACAGTCCACTTGATGGTAAGTGGTTGCTGTGACCCATAGATCTACATTTATCCTCAATAAGGAATCAAAATTGAGGTGCGTCGTCACCCGTGAGGACTAAAATGGAATGCCTGTTATCCAGTGGAAAAGGTCTCCGGTTCTCTACACTCACCATACGAAACACAGCAGTGTCAGGCTGCCATTTTACGCTGGTATTTTGTGAGAGCTTGGTCCTTCCCCGGTCGAGCCGACTCATTCGTGCTACAACTATACTACTAAAATAGTTGCAGCATGGCTCTACACGTGACAGCGATGTAGGAAAATCAATTCCCCAATTTCCTTCTGTGGATATCGTGAAGGGGGACTATGATGCCGGAAATATCTCATAACTTTCAATAGATGGTGGTAATACCAACTGGAGCGTGAAGTGGCGATGTAATAGTAGGTATCCATTACCCAATAGCATCCCGTGGGTGTCGTAAAAGGTGATAGAGGGAAACAAATCAGGAAAGGGGCATCAGCGTCTTTCTAATAACGACTAAAATAAAAATAAAACTGCGGCTGCCAACCCGCTTGCGTAGCGTGGTAACTATGGCAAATATCCCCCTAGGAGGAAATCTATGGGGAAGGCCTATGTTCAGTAGTGGACCTAAATAGGCTGTTACAGATATCGAATTACCAAGTAGTTGCTTTTTTTAAAGTTGCTAACGAACTTCAGTCTAGCTGTTGGTAAGTCGCTTGCGCAGACCATGGACACGTACAACTTTCAAACAAAGGAAACATGTGCGTTGTCACTTTTTTTACTTATTATACGCCAGTGCTTGACCAAAATCACACTTGGTGGTAAGTGGTGATGCAGCCTTAGATGGTAAATCGCACTGTCTTAGCGTAATAAAAGTCTATTCACTCTTGCCTTGAAGACGCTCTGATTGTATTCGGACGGAAAGATAGACGCCGGCAAATGCATTACAAAAGACGAAGCAAGCCGTTTGGTTCTAATGCGTGGCATATCAACAACAAAGCGATAAAGACCCGCCGACTGCCTGGTTGTCCGATGGTGTAAAGGAGAGGGCGGTATTAAAGCGTGTAATTTCTGCGCACACTCATCGAAATGCATCCTATAGAATACTTACTATACTTAATACCTACTTATAGTTCTGAGGGCTAAGATGGGATGCTTCACAGCCTGTAATTGTATTAGTTCTCTATATCCTTCAGAATGGAATACATCAGTTCGAGCACCGCTGCTTATCGGTAGAAATAGACAATAGGATAGGGTCTGAAGAATAAAGGGAGTCAGGGACTATAGGCCGTAAGGTATTCCATTTTAGTTCTCACAGATGATACTGCATCTGTCCTTTGAAATTGATGACAGATATCCAAGTGCCGTAGCAGCCACTTACCATCAGGTGAACAATAAGTTGGCTTGTCACTTCAGTTTTATAAAAAAAAGTACAAAAGCAAGTCTATTTCGACAACGTAACTTTTATAGAAATATATTATGACGAGTCCGAGACACAACCATCGGGTATAGATTTGACGTCTGAAAGAAGATGTAGTGACAAAAATTGAGAAAGGTATGTTGAGATAGTTTGGCCATGTCGAGAGAATGAATGAAGAACGATTGACGAAAAAAGTGTATAAGGCGAGTGTGAATGAAAGTGCTGGAAGGGGTAGACCTAGGCGGACATTTCAAGACCAAATCAGGGGTGTCTTGAAAAAAGGCCAGGTCAAGAGCACCCTAAACCGTAGAGCATGTATGAAGAGAATAATGAAAGTGGACGAAGCGAAACAAGTATGTAAGGATCGTAGCAAGTGGAAAGAAGTGGCCTCTACCTACCCCTACGGGAAAGAGGCGTGATTATATGTATGTATTAAATTACCCAGACCTCGCCAAGGAGCAGTGTGAAAGGAGGAGGAAGTAACAAGACTTTTGGCATTGTGAACTTCTGGCATTGTGATGAAGTTTTAAATTTGGTTGATGAAGATGAATATCATAGACCAAGTAGATTATAGCTTGCACACATTCTAACATCATTTATACAAACGTTATCGATATCATTAAAAGAAATCCTGCCTACCTGTACATAATGCATATGCGGTGAGATCAAAGGTGGGCTAGCATGCATTGTTAGAAATACATAGACAATAATTCGAATCAGACCGGAAAATTAACAAATTGTGTATTTGCACGGAAATAGTTAATGTGATGCAGGCAGAGATTCAAACCTATTACTTGTCACACTGAAATCTAAACTACACAATTGTTAATAATTTTATAATAGAACTTATGAAGATTACCTCCGTGTGCGGCCCCATAGCTGGTGACTTCCTCATTGCGGCAGCAATTCTCACCACCCCAACGTGGCTTAAATCGTTAGCGAACTCTGTTTTAGCATTGGCGTATCTGTAATTCGGCGCAAGCGGGAGCCAGGGTTGGCCTGACGTGAACCCTGCACCACTTGTATCATCCCAGGGGAATGGTGCTGCAGAAGGTGTACCCAATATTGGCCAGCAATCTGTGTTAGTTGCCCACTCTAAGAGAGTATCAGCTACACCTAATTCGTCTCCTTGTTGAATGATAGCGGCTCCAGGTAAAATTAAAGCCAGTAAATTGATGGCATCTACCATGTCACCGCCGTATCTCGTTGTTATTCGATTTTCGTTTTCAGCACTTGTCTGTGATAGGAAGGTAAACCATTAATAGAAATAATTCAACCAATGCGATGAGCGATTGTATAAATGACAATATTCGAGTAAATTATTAACGCTAATTTTAATATTCGAATTAATACTATTACTCCTAGAAAAGAAATCCTATCACTCGGTGGTCACTACCCTTTTACGTAATTTTGAGTATAGACGTATAGATACTCAGTATGATAACTAATCACAAGCTATTAGACATTCCATATCTCAGAGATAACAACACATTTTTAGCTTTATGTGTTTGAAGTTATAGGTGACCATGGGCTGCAGAATCCACGTACCTTAAGGTTGACTTTAAGTTCGATTGTTAATTTAGTTTACAATATATATATATATATATATATATATATACATAATTATATATAATTACATTACATTGGAAAAATATCTTATAATTATCTCTTAGTATCTTTCTTTCTTTATTCTATTCTATTGAAAGGCGCGTATTCTTAGGATGAGAACTCTATACTGTTAGTAAATCTTATGAAGTCCATGGTATTTGTATTCGCGCTCGTCTGCGTCAATAAAATATTGCCCATTCAAATTGTTATAATGAATGTTTGATTAGTATTTAGGCTATAATAAATAAGACCTTTATATGTATTAAAATTACGTGTCACATTGTTTGTTTGCGATGAACTCCCAAGCTACTGAACTGATTTCAATGAAAATTTGCACATTGTTAGATCCAACTTGGGAGATAAGAATTTTTTATCCCGATAAGTGATTCGCAATATTTTTTTTATCACAAATTAAGGATTTTTATAGGAAAAATTATTGTCGGAGTGGACAAGGTAATAAGTAAAATGAAAACAAATGTGGGGAAAGATATTGTTTTTGTTATATATTTAAGCTGAAATTTAAGGCATAATTGCTTAGTAAGTTTATATCACTTTTATTTTTAACAATTTTTAATTCCCAACTTTTCGGGTGTATAAGGCACCCATGGGCACGTTATCCTCATGGTTGCGTGTCATCTTACTATGTTTATTTGAAATAAAATTTTGAAAATAGCAATTTTTTACTTACTAAAAGTCAGTGCTTAACTACAATCCCAACTGGTGGTAAGTGTTGGTGAGTCCCTAGATTAGACACCTATCATTAATTCATTTCTAGTAACCTGATCATTCAAGTACTGATTCGTCTTACGATCCGAGTCATTCGGGTCGATCATTCAAGTGGATCATTTCGAGTTTCATTACTCTGTCATCTGTGAGACCCGCTGTCGGTCGTCGGACATTACTCGTTGGTGACAGATTCTGTCAATCGTTTGATCCGGAACGTTCAAAATATTTAATTGGGATCATCAATACTTTCATGCTACCCGAGACAAATAAACGAATCATTCACATTGACATATGTCTACTCTAGATAGTAAATCGCACAATCTTAATTTAATTTAACTTATATCGTAGGTGGTTCAATCGATTACACATCGTGTACCGTACAGCCATATAAATACATAACCAAAATACTTAATTACATTATATACAATATACACATAAGTCTTTTTTTGTATTGTTCAGGTCTTTAGTACAATATCTTTCGAGTTTCATTTCTTCTCTTATAATAAATACTAAAATAAAGGTTGGACAATTTTCGATGTTCATGTAGTTGTTAAGGTAACAGGACATTATTAGGATCTCTATTAACTGTACATTACTGTACTATAAGTATATGTCGCTAACATATATTACACAAAAACACGGCACTCATTAATATCTAAAACCTATTTGGATTATTTTTATACATTTTCTTTTGTCTTATAAAGGCGTTTAATTGTGTATTTACACGAAACTCGTTAATATCTAAAACGGATTTTGATTTATTAATAAATTTTATTTTGTCTTAACAAATAAACATTCAGTATTAACGTTGCGTATAAAATGCATAACTCCATCTCGCTGCAAGCAAATTTACGACCTCCAGATGGGATGCAATAAAGATACTCACGAGCCAAGTGGGTGCCATGTCTTCCGGGGAGTATAACATTACCGCGTGTATTGCCAGAGCCAAGTCTGGGGCAGAGGGCCTTGTAGCGGCTGTCAACGCGTTACTTATGACAGTATTGGCACCGATCCCTTCATCGCCGTAGTACTCTCCAGATGCTGTAGGACTTACGGCATTCTCGACAATAATTACTCTGGAAAATGTTGTTACGGAAGCGGTTGGAAGTAAAGCATTTATTCGTGCAGTTTGAGATCGTTAATTTAACAAAACTGTTGGAAGAGCGCCAGTAATGATACTGAGACTTGCTTGTTTCGCTTTTTTTTAATATTATTTAACATCGAGTATATTTACTGCTTTCGTAATTACAGTGCGTTTGAACGATAAACAGTATTGTATACTTCGAATAATATGGTGACAATATTTTAATAAAGCTTCTATAGAATATACTTAAAAGGATTTGAGTGTTACCGCTTACAACTGCAAATTATGTTTTTATTTTTCTGCTAAAAAATGTAAACTTACTGGCCGAAAAGAAACTGCACGCTAAAAAAATACGTAAAAAAGGAATAATGAAGAAAAACAAATTTATTATGTGTGGACGCAACCGAAAGCGTCAGATTGCGCTTGCGTCCACATATATATCATTTTAAAACAAAACAAATTAAATAATAAACATATAATTTTGTAATCTGTAAAAGCGTAAATAAAATAAAAAGTTGGTTGAAAATATGACAAGAATAATGACGAAAGGTTTAGGTTATCAGGTGCACTCTTTTTCTTTTATATCTATCATGCACGATGCATATATATGCATCTAGGAAATTCTAAAAAGGCAGGACAATCCAAAAGTGAAGACTGTGTAACTTTATTTCAACAATTTGGTAAAGACCACGCTCGTACAAAAAAACAGTTTGAAATAGTATTTCGTGTGGTAGGTGATGAGAACCTGTAACCGTTTTTACTGGCAACAAGACATTCCAGTTTAATCTTATGTGATGACAACAAACCTGCATTTTGATTCTTAATCAAGGATAAATATTTTTAAGTTATGGACCATTTATTATCAAGTGGACTATGAGTTCATTTTTTTTACAAACGAGCACACATTCCACCTGATGGCAAGTGGTTGCTGTGACCCATAGACATCTACATTTATCCACAATAAAGAATCAAAATGCAGATGCGTCGTCACCCGTGAGGACTAAGATAGAATGCCTCTTTTCCAGTAACATGGGTCTCCGGTTCTCTACACTCATCATACGAAACACAGCAGTATCAAGCTGCCATTTTACACTGGTATTCTGGGAGAGCGTGGTCCTTCCCCGGTCGAGCCGACCCATTCGTGCAACAACTATACTACTAATATAGCTGCAGCATGGCTCTACCACGTATAAAAATTCATTTGTCACCTTAATTTCCTTAATAAATATTAATGCTGAGTCTTCCGAATAACGCATGCTAGTAGCAGTAAACTTGAAAAGTCTCTAAATGTTGTCCGTTCACACAAAATTAAGCCCATGATTTTTAAAAAACGTTTTATTTATCACCACAAAAAATTCTCAATTGCGTCTAGCAATTTGCAAGTGAAGGATTTTCATTGATGCACTTACTTCACGGGAAAGCTTTGGATCTGTTTGTATGAATTAAATGCAAACTAGCAGAGTTACGGAGATGGAACTAAGCAGATGCGGGTCGTTAGTTTCAGGTAAAAGATATTATGATAGAAACGGGTGACGCAAGTCAGCTTAATAATATAAAACGTGTTTCTGATAGAACGGGTGCCTGTAGGTGTACTGCTCTTGCTCATTCTACAATAGTTATTTGCGAGATTTTCAACTGTGATATCTGGGACTTGAGCATTTATGGGATACACTATTCAGAATAAGATGCATAAATTAAAAATGATTTTATAAGGATTTTGTTTAAATAGGTACAGGAAAATTTTGGAACAAAGATTTACCAGTATAGGCCAGATTTCAGAAAAAAATTATATTAGTGAAGTGGAAACGTTTTTAGAGTCCTTGTGATTTGAAACTCGATGAAACGAAAAAGCGACACTATAAGAGACAAACACATCTTTAGGATTTAGTCCACGAGAGAATGAGAAAGAATATTATATTAAATTAGTCTTTTGGGCCATTTAGCGTCTATTACCACCTTGCAAGTCAATAAATTTTTGTTTGATAAAGTTACTTTACCTATATAATCAAGTAGATGGCGCTATTACAAAGCAATTTTACTCGAAAGAAAATATTTTTTGATTTATTACACTAAAATTTAAGCACTACATTTCTAAAAATAAAAGCAGTAAAAAGTGAAATATTTTTATTTCATATTTCAATTCATTTGTAGGTCTCACTTCTACCGCGTGTGAACTCCACTCGTGACTTTTTTATAATAATGAGACGATTGATTGTTCAACGATTTTCGGGAGTCCAGCTAAGTGTCAGGGTTGATTAAATTATGTCTAGATGCGGGACCTTCCGGAAATTCCGGGACAGTTTGACGAGCCTAGGTTTGACGCCTCTTACTCTTTCGTAACAAAAAATTTGCTTTCTGCTTACTAGGGCTACGTAGACTGCCGATGACCTCATACAATTTTATATAGACTTGGACATATAAATAAAATAAATTAATGTTAATTGTAAAATAAATTTACTTACGGAAAAAATTATATAAGAGGAATCTGTGCCTTGCAGTGGGACGGAAATTGACTGTAACGATGCTTTTGTATATTATGTTACGAATAAAAAGCGAAGTGCGGACACACCTACGTGTAAGCGGTTGATGTATCATACATAATTTGTAAATTAGATTAGTGTCTGCACCTTAACCTACTGTCACTTGATACGTTTTTCCGTATTTTTACAAATTTAACAGTACACTTAAATTTAACGAACTACTCCCGCACTTAGTTCTAGAACTAGGTGTAACCGCACTTTAGCATATATAATAAATAACATATTATATAATAAATAAACATATGATTACGTTATTTTATACGTAGTAGAGCCACGCTGCAGCTATATTGTGGTTGTAGCGTAAATGGGTCGGCTCGACCGGGGGAGGATCACGTTCTCACAGAATACCAGCATAAAATAGCAACCCAATGCTGTTGTGTTTCGTATGGTGGAGGGTGTAGAGACTCGGAGACCTCTTTTACTGCAAACGAGGTATTCCATCTCAGTCCTCAGGGGTGATAACGCATCTGCATTTTGATTCTTAATTGAGGATAAATGTAGGTGTCTATGGGCTACAGCATCCACCCTTTTTATGGGATAGGGTTTTAAACGAGCACACAGTCTTCACCTGATGGTAAGTGGTTGCTATGGCCCATAGACATCTACATCTATCCTCGTTTGTGAATCAAAATGCATATGCGTTGTCACCCGTGAGGACTAAGATGGAATGCCTCTTTTCTAATACAAAGGGTATCCGGTGCTCTACACTCACCATACGAAACACAGCAGTTTTAAGCTGCTATTTTACGCTGGTATCCTGTGAGAGCGTGGTCCTTCCCCGGTCGAGCCGACCCTTTCGTGATACAACTATACTACTAATATAGTTGCAGCATGGCTCTACCACATATTGGTACTTTTTGACATTTTTTGAAAAGTCTTTACACATTAAAAAAAATTAGTGAAGCTGAGTTACTTACTGTGCCAAAAATTTAAAAATTTCTAACCGAAAATACTCACGGCGTTTCCAAATTCACACCTCGTACACAACTCATAGCGTCTGCTTTAAGTTTCCTTAGGAGTTTCGTACTACAATTGCGATCAAGGTCAAAATTCACTCTGAGCAATACTCCGGCTACCCCCCTCCGCAGCCATATGCACTGAGCTTCTGATAACGCTTCTGCTGTATTCTCGGAACATAAATTAAGTAGCGCTTCATTGTTCGACGCTCCATAGTACGCGTTCCTATCCCCGTGCCATGTCCAGTTCACGAGGCTATGTCCAATCTGTGTGAGTTATGTTATTCGTTAGTGACTCGTTAATGGATTGTGTTGACGTCCAAAAATAGTTTCAGTCAGGTTTATTGAAACATATTCTATTTATTAAATTAATAAATTGAGTTTTATTTGAACAGTCTATGAAGCTTTAATAGATATGGATGAATTTATTTATTTATTTAAGTACACCAACGATTGTTACAACAATGCAGAAATAGTAAACACACATCCACTTATATACTAATTGTACAATCAATTAAAGGTATAAATCGCATGCTTCAAGATACTAAAAAGTTACTTAGTGATTCTAAATACATAAAGTACAAAAACTTAGGATAGAACCAAATAATATAATGTATATAAAACAATGACTTACACCTAGTTAATTAAATAATGTATTGTTTACTGTGGAACTACTACTACAGAGAAATAGAAAAACATGAATTCATTTTATGTTTCCTTATTTTTTTTATTTAATAAGCATGACAAACGAGCACACAGTATACCTGATGGTAAGTAGACAAGTAGTAGTGCTGTGGTCCATAGACATCTTAATGTATCCTCAATTCAGAATCAAAATGTAGATGCGTTATCAGCATTAAGGTCTAAGATGGAATGTCATGTTTCTAGTAAAAGACTCTCCGGTTCTCTACACTTACCATACGAAACACAGCAGCGTTAAGCTGCTATTTTACTCTGGTATCATGTGAGACAGTATAATCACAGGCCGTGAGGCGTTCCATCTAGTATTCAGGGGCAAAGACGCATCTGTAGTCTTCTTTGTGTCAAGTTGGTTGCAGATGCTCATTGACCACAGTATTATCTGTAGCTAATCATAGGGTGGAAAGTAAGTTCGTTTCGAAAAAAAAACATGCATTTACGAGACGAATATAAGAGACTTATATTATGAATGACAACGTATTACATTATCTCAGTCATTGAACTAATATGCACTAGAAGAGACAAAATGTGTGCGGCAGAGCGAGCCGCGTAGCAGGAGGCATACCAGTGAGTTCCATTTTGTAGCTCAGTCTAAGTAAGTTTGAGTCCGCGGGCTCTAACGCGTGCTGCAAATAATCAAGTCTAGGCGTCCCTTTTAATACGTAGTTCATATTACTCAATGATTTCAGTATATTAGTATCTCACAAATAATATGTTAAAAGGAGCGAACATTTACAGCGAGTAAATTGTAAATTTCACAGTACGCGAGCAACCCCGGTTCGTACCAATGAAATTGTTAATTGCAATTATAAGTGCTGATTTTGCCACCTACTCGGCGATGAAGGAAAATATCGTGAGGAAAACTGCACGTCTGAGAAATAACACAAAAAAATTGCAAAGAAATGTGAAATTCGTCAACATGCATTGGGGCAGGTCGGCGGACATTTCCTTGCTCTAAAACCCTCTCACAAATGAGAGAAGGCCTTTGACCAGCAGTGGGACGTATGTAGACTGTTACTTCACTTTACCCTCCTTTATATTAAAAGGAAATTTTTAATGATCTTTTTATTTTAGTAAGCCGTAGCTCTTCACCTCGAAATGAATATCTTTCTATTAAAATAACTGGGTTAAATGAGAAAAAGTTACCCTCTTTTGAAGAGTTTTATAAACCACTTTAAGTTTACTACATTAAAAACTTACCGTTGGTGCTTCATCGGGTGTTCCTTCTCTCCACAGAACCCTATCTTCATATCCAATCTTTCGTTCCGCGCTAAAGTTAAACCATTCAGATGCGGTGCTAATTGCTTCAAAATGCAACGTAATTACCACTTTAAGCTCTGTGGAAAATAAATAACATTCTTCACTTTATACTCCTTGAAATAAAACTATGAATAAACACAATAAAGTTGAAAATAGCGTAATACTGGCTTTAGAAGTAAACTTTTGTAACTAAAATGATAGATAGAGATGGTATGAATATTAGTATACGGATAGAAAAAAGCATGAAAGAAATAAAGAAAATTATTTATCTGACATCATAATATCATGGCAATACAATAAAAATTAAAAAAAAGTTGAATAGAAGTTACGGTTACAGTTACAACATAAAGTACACTGCTGAAAAGTTCTGAAGAGCTGCTGAAGGGTTCACAATTTCAGCATTTTACTACAGCTGCGAGTGCTACAGCGCTGATTTTGAAATGGGGCCCGATATTGACATCGCGGACGTATACTAAATAACCATAGTCATATACAAACATAAATTTTCGAATAGATTGAGCCAGACAGCACAAAACACATTATATGAAAAAAAACCAAATAGAACACAATAACAATTTGAAATTATATTGCTTTTAATTGTTGTATTTTTACGAATAGTAATATTTATGATTAAAAATATTATATATTAAAATGATTATATATTAATTAGTGACATACGTTTTTCTTCAATTATATAGTATGCGAACGACCAGTGATTACCCATTTTTACGAAGTAGAGCCCTGCAAATGGCTCTACTTCGTAAAAATGCGTATGCTGTATTATTATTGTAGCACGACTGGGTCGGCTCGACAGGGAAGGGCCACGCTCTCACAGAATACCAGCGTAAAATAGCAGCTCAATGCTGTTGTGTTTCGTATGGTGAGTGTAGAGAACCGGGGACTCTTTTTACTGGATACGAGGCATTCCATCTTAGTCCGGGTTCAGTGGTGACATTCGAGGATAGGTGTCTATGGGCAACAGCATCCACTTACTATCAGGTAGGCTGTGTGCTCGCTCGTCGTTCTCATTTTACCTTTGCCAGCACCACTGTAATTTTGCAGTAGCTGTCTTAGGTACCATAGATGTAAAATTGTGAAAGAAGTGATAGGTGGCTGACACATCGCCTACAAAATCACAAACCCAATATCCCGTTAGTCATCTTTTACGATATGCTAGGCGAGTAGAACTGTTGACACATTCTTTATTGTTATAAGTTCCACATTAACATGGGATTTATAAGACCAGACCAATATGGAACATTTAATACTGCATGCAATCATAATAAGGTCATCCATGACTTTTTCTGCCACCAGGGCTTGAAAGCGACTTGAAAGTGAGGTATAATATTTGACAGATATCATAGTGGGGAAGTTAATTTGTTCGGAAAATGTAAAAGATATTGTTTCTGTTTGTAATATTATCTAAATTTTATATTAATAGCATTAAAAATATAAATAAATCAAACCACAGATATTCATAAAAGTAGAAAAATAAAAAAAAGAGTTAAAATGTGCAAAAAATTAAAGAGCAAACCAATGATGCATTCTTTTGTGTATTAATATAATACTCTTGAAACTGATAAACTCAATTAAACTACATTGTGTAACAAAAAACTTTACCTCAGTGTCAACTAGCGACATCTGGTGAGCAGAAAATTATTAGCCCTCATTAAAGTAATACGATACCTCTCTCTCTTTATCTATAACGTACCTAATTTATTCGCTTTCTTCAAAAAATTGTTAAACTTATCCAAATCACCGTATCGTGGATCGATTTGAGTGAAGTCTACGGTCCCAGCTTTGGAACAGTCGGTGCTTCTAGCAGATAAGGGCGAAAGAATAACTGCATCAGCGCCTAGAGCGCGAACATAGCTAATTTGTTTTGCTGCACCTGTAAATTTAAACTAACAGTAGATATAATAATAATATATGTCATTAGGACTGAATTGAAGTCACTATGACAAGACACGCAGGACGGGATTATAGTGCCCGAGTTAATGCGCAAGAACAGATGCACTCTCTGTTTCTCGCTCTCAACATCCGACGGGATGGCAAACCAACACGACACGGAGAGAGATTAGGCGCAGGACCAACGGCTTTCTGTGCTTTCCGAGGCATGAGGGTGAAACAATGCCAATATCTATTGACTCCGGTTTGCTATTGGGAAAATAAAAAAATCCAATAAAAAATCTAATAACTGATTTTGTCCGTACTCTGGATTCAAACCAACAGACCAACGAGCCAGTAGATATAATGGCTTATAGATAGATAGCGGTATAACCAACTACATTGTCATCGGCATCAAAGGTGCGAGACCTCTGACGTTTGGTACTGCGATTATCAACCCTTGATAAGACGTTCAGTAAATACTGTGGTCCATTAGTATTTGTTATTTAGATTGATAATTTGTAATAAGTACTGACATCTCTCAAAACACAAGATAACACGATCAGTTATATCATCTTTGCAATCCTTCACAAGTCCACTGCTGAACATAGGCCTAACCCAATTAACACCACAAAGCACGGTCCTGAGCCACCTGCATCTATCTTTCTGCTTATCCTACAATGTCGTTAGTAACATAGATTATTATACTCAGTAAATACCATACCGTATATCGCGTCAGTACGCATCGCGATAGGAATAGAGGAGAAAATATTTCAATTCCGAAAATAATTCTCGTAATCTTCTATGCCATTACGCAGTTTAATTTCATCCAATAAATTCTAATGTGTGTATTTTTGTCTCGTTTTAGCCAATATTTTGTATTTTTCTTTCTTATTATTCTTCTTTTTTAACCTAACTCTAAGATAATAGCCATATAAGCTTTAGTTTTTGCCTCTGTATCCATTTCACGTATGAAGTGTCCGAAACACGTTAGAATACTGACGAGATATAAAGTAAAATTAAAATTTTTGTACAACCTACTTCAATATATATTACTAAGGATAACTCAAAAACTATTAGTCAAACTTTGATTAAATTTATCTTCACGCACAATCCCTGACGGGGTAGCCAGAGAGAACAGATCGCCAAGTGTCACGATCCTTACATATCTCTTTCGCTTCTTTCAGATTCATTATCTTCTTCATACATGCACGTCTAGGTATCCGAGTACTCTTGACCCTACCCTCTTCGAGCAATTTGCTCACATGGTCTTCGAAAGTTAGTCTCGGTCTACCTCGACACCTTTTAATATTAACTTTCGCGCTATATATTTTCTTCACCATTCGGTCTTCACTCATTCGCTCAACGTGCCCAAACCACCGAAGCACGCCCTTATCAATTTTTGTGATAAGGTCATCTTTCAAACCTGCCATATTGCGAATCTCTTCGTTTCGCTTTCGGTCGGCCATGGTAACGCCGCACATTTTACGAAGAGATCGCATCTCCACTGCATTCAACTTACTTTTATGCTTCTTCTGGCATACCCAGGTTTCGCTGCCATATAACAAAGTCGGTACCAACACTGCGTTATGTATTGCAAGGCATGCACTCTTCGCTACGCCTTGCCTTTTGACTAACGCAGTCAGGGCACCATTGACTTTGTTCCCGGCAGCGACACGCCTGTCCACATCTAAATCACATCTTCCATCCCGGCTAAAAGCACTCCCCAAGTATACAATTTCATTTACCTGTTCTAGACATTCCTGATTTACCCATATTTCACACTTCGTTCTCTCTTCGTCCCTTTCAAATACCAGAACCTTAGTTTTATTAGCATTCAAACGGAGACCTTTAATTTCACATTCCTCTTTCATACACGTGACTAATGCCTGCAGTTCTGCCTCTGATGGTGCAATAAGCACTGCATCATCAGCATACAGCAGACAATTTACTTTTATGTCACCCAATTTCACACCCAAACAGCTATCTTTCAGCTTTTGTAAACAGCTGTCGAGATACAGTATGAACAGCCAGGAAGACATGACACAACCCTGTTTTACGCCCGTTTGGACGCTAAACATGGGTGACAGGTCATGCCCTACCCGCACACAGGCTTTACAGTCACAGTAAAGAGACTGCACAGCCCTTAGCAATCGGCCATCCACACCATACCCCGGCAACAGTTCCCACATTTTCTTCCTTACAACCTTATCAAATGCTTTCTCAAGATCCACAAAAGCACAGAAAATCTTCTGGTTAACAGCCAGAAGCTTTTCCGTGATCATACGGAGAGAAAACATTTGATCCGTGCATCCTCTTCCAGGTCTAAATCCGCATTGTGCCTCCCATAGAAATCTTTCCGATTTCTCTTGCATCCTACGTGTCAAAACCTTCGAGTAAACTTTACTTGCTAAACTGGTCAAGCTGATTGCCCGATAGCACCCGCAGTCAAAATGTGAACCTTTACCTTTATATAAAGGCACAATGACTGCGGATCGCCAATCATCCGGGACATCCCCCGTCCGCCAGCACAAATTGCACAGCAGATGAAAGCTGTCCCAGACGCGAGGCCCACCATACTTGACCATTTCAGCAGTAACTCTGTCTAGTCCCGCAGCCTTACCACATTTCAAACTTCGAATCGCACGTTCAATCTCTTTCATACTGATGACCTCAGTGTCATCGAGGTCCGGGTCTGGCGTACCAGTCACGGCGTCATCCCCGGATCCCTCACTAAGATCATCACACGCATACATTTCTCTATAAAATTCGCTCCATCGCTGCATGACGTCCGATTTTTCTGATAGGACGTCATTAGTTCTCGAAAGCACTTTGTTCATTCTTAAGGCCGTCGCACCACTTCGGGCCCTTCCAACCTCTTTCCAGAAGAGTTTGGAGTTCTCCTTAAAGTTGTGCGACAATCTTTCATCCGCTTCCATTCTACACCTTTCACGCACTTCCTCAATGAATGCTTTCGTGTGAACTTTCTGCAGCTTATATCTTTCTTTCATCTTCTCTCTCATATCCTTATCATTACTAGAGGCCAAGTAGTCTAACCATGCTTTCTTCTTCTTCTTTACAGCTTCTTTCACTTCATCATTCCACCATGCATCTCTTCTTTTACTACTGCCTCTTTTTATTGTTCCACACACTTCTTCCGCTGCACTTACCATTCCATCCCTAAGGTTCTGCCATGTTCTTTCTACACATTCGTTTCTGCCATCGATGGTGTCAAGCTTTTCGGCTACCCTCGCATGATATTTGTCCCTAGTATCCGCTTCCTGAAGCTTCCAGCTTCGGATGCGACAGACCGACTGTGGTTCTGTCACTGTCGTCCGGTAGCGCCAACCCGCGAACAGACCCCTAAATCTAGTAATCACTAGATAGTGATCCGTTCCCAGGTCAGCACCCCTGAACACTCGCGTATCCATAACCTGTTTTCGCAGTCGGTCATCCACCAGGAACAAATCGATCATACTTCTCTCATTCTTTCTTTCTCTAGTATACATATGGATTTTCTTGTGATTAAACATAGTGTTTGTCACAAGAAGACCCTTTTCCTTTGCATACCGCCAGTATAAGCTTGCCAGCATCATTAACCCTTTTATCGCCAAACTTTCCAAGTACCGACTCGTACCCTGGTCGAGCGGTACCAACCCATCCATTCAAATCACCACATACAACAATCCTTTCGTTTCCCCTAGCCAAATCTAGAACTTCTCTTACATTCTCCCAAAACTCCTCCAGCTCAGCCCTGGACGACGAAGCCACCGGCGCATAAACAGCCAAAAGGAATAACTTCGTCAGTCCCAATTTAAAGCGAACCCAGAGAAGTCTTGAGTTCACAAACTTATATTCAGTCATAACATCGACCAACCGAGAAGACAGCAGCACCCCCACTCCCTGGCAGGCGTTCTCGCTCTCCGGGACTCCGGACCATAGAGCTAACGCCCCGCCAGGGAGCTCTTCAGTACCACTGCCCTTCCGTTTGGTCTCCGACATACACACGACATCTAATTCTCTTTCTTTCATTATTTCGATCAACTCATTCGTCTTATCTCTCATGCCTCCTCTAACATTCCACGTGCCAACTCTGCACTCCGTCCTCCACCTTCCGCCGTGTCGGGCTGTGCGTGACGGGTGGCGGTCCCCATCGCCGCTTTGCGCGCTGCATTCCACACCAACGGGGACGAGCTGGTGTGCGTCGCCTTGGGGGGACGCCCTAACCCTCGTTGACATGGGTGCGCAGCTGAGTAGAATTGCAGCCCTGAAAAGGGCTGGCAGGGGTCGCGACGAGCACGCTTCTACAATGACCCCAATGATTAAATTTATATGAGACCACATGAGAAGCACCGGCTTTCAAATAAAAAAATAATCATAGAAATCGGTTCAAGTAGAATAAAGTTATGACGTAACACACATAAAAAACATACAGTCGAATTGAGTACCTCCTCCTTTCTGAAGTCGGTAGAAAACTAGAAAATACTGAACGCCTTGCTTGTTTACTCTGACAATGAAATGTGACTTACAGTATTTATCATTCTGATCGACCGCAGTATTTACTGAGCGCCTAGCTTTCGACTAACCATTATGGCAAATCCTTCCTGCAATGTGAGAGACTATCCAGCAGTGGACTTCTACGGGTAAATGATGAAGAATAAATATAATCACACCAGTCAAGTCCTTAAGTATATTATACTATATTTAAGCACTACAAATTCAAAATGAGTTATTGGACTAATTAAAAAAGAAATATGTCTGAAAGAAGCGAAATTCTCTCCCAAAAATGCGTTATAAGGAAAGAAATACTTTCTTAAAGAATTTCATTATTGGGTGAATAACAAAGCGTTTAATTATTACAGAATAACCTTTAAAGCCTTCTAGTAATTATATCAGGGTATTCGATTAGAATTTTTACATTACCTTTGTGTAAGATACGTGATAGAGCTACGCTGTAGCGATTATGGTTACAACACAAATGGGTTAGTGACTTGACCACGCTTTTACAGAATACCAGCGTAAAATCGTAGCTTAATACTGCTGTGTTACGTATGGTGAGTGTAGAGACCGGAGATAATTTTTACTGGTAACGAGTTATTCTATCTTAGTCCACGGGGGTGAGAGCTCATCTACGCATCTACATTTTGATTCTTAATCAAGGATAGATATATATTTCAATAGACTGTAGCCCCCTACTTACTATTAAATGGACTGTGTGCTTGTTTGTCACCTTTATTCTATAAAACAATATCGTTAATTAATAAAGTAACTAGGTAGTAGAACTTAAGTCTCTCTGAGATTTTTTTTTTCAAATAAAATCTTTTATTTTAATTTTTATATCGCCTCGGTGTTTCACGTCGGATAAACATTTTTCCCTTTGCGCAGTTTCAATTAATTCTTCCTCCATTTTACAGACACTCGTTACAAATTAGTGTCTGGGCTGGACTAACTATGTGTACTCACACGACACAGGCTTGTATATGAGTACGTACGTCTGTGTCAACCCGTGAGAACAATTTCAAAATATGGTACTGCGGCATAGCTATGTATGGCTATCCTCATCGCCAATGCGATATCTCAGGATTTTAATAAAAGCAGTCTTTCTCTTACGGCTTTTAATGACGGACTGAACGGTGACGTTACAAAAATTAAACAAATACCTTACAGTTTTAAATGCTGTTACTCGCAAGTAGCTCGTGACGTACAATGCGAGTGTTACTTTTTGTCCCACGTGATGCGATTAATACTGTAGGTATGTAGTATATTTTTTCGCAATACGAGACGTGGTAGCTCAAGAGTTTAGACGCACGCTGCTTTGTAGTAATTAACATAATACGCGAGCAAACCAAGGTTCGATCCTGGCCGGCACCAATAAAGTTGTTAATTGCAATTTTTAATGTTGATTTACCACGTACTCGGCGGTGAAGGAAAACATCGTAAGGAAACCTGCATGTCTGAGAAATTAAAAATATATATTCAGAAGACATGTTGAGTTCGCCAACACACATTGGAACAGCGCGGTGGAGAACTCCGTGTTCTTATACCCTTTGAGAAATGAGAGGACACATATACACAGGAGTGGAACATATATGGGCTGTAACTTACTTAACTTATACAATCGCTAACTGCAACGTGGGCCACAACGATTCATACGTGCGTGGTCCTACACCGGTTGGGACGGCCCATTCGTGCTACAACCATAATATAGCTGCAGCATGGCTCTACCACTTACAAATAAAGAGTTTTCATTTTATATAATAGGATAACCGTAAAAAAATAACAAATACGATTCACTGTATGAATCCTCACCCTGTATATCGCCCAATCCATCTCCGTCGCCATCCTTGAAGGAATCTACTAAGATTCTATAATAAACCGCGTTATTCCACCATGGAATAACCACTTCCCCCACTCCTGACGCCACAAACACCCCTAATGCGAGCGCGATGAGCTGCATGTTAACCGAGATTGGCTCACTAATGATCATTTACTGTAAACCGTGATCTTTAAGTATAGTGCTGGGACGTTGTTGAAAAAAAAATAGGTATAAAAAATTGTGTACTTGTGTACTAATAAAGTTTATATAATATTTCTTTTTTATTCTTCGTAAGTCAAACACTGGTGATGGACTCTCGCGTTAATGGGGCAGGGGTTCGCTAAAACTGTCCGGTACACTTGGTAAGTGGATTAGTGACCGCATTAATAGACGTTTCATACCTTTAATGCTATCCCCCTCGGGATATATTCACCCTTCCATTAATTTTATGTCTTTATTAAAAAAATATTTATCTTTCTATATAGAAGTTGTAAAGGTGAGCCAATGAATACATGAATTAGTTTTCAGAAAAGTTGTTATTAAGAAATTTTCCAATCAAAAATGTCGAACTTATCTTTATTAGTTACCAAATGAGTGGTTTATGGGAAGAGAACTTTTTTATGATCAAGTAATGCAGTAAGAAATGAATGTTGTTAGTTTCATATCGGCACTCTAAAAGTCTCTTCCTGCAGTGGCTATCTAGATATAATATAGAACTAATCTGGGTCGTTAAGCTCAAGTACTGACATTAAATCATTTTAAATTTAAATCTGTAACGCGACGTACTTACCACTCCAAGCTCAAGTTTCGTGTAACTAAAATACCGTAACGTCACAAATGCGGTACGCGGAGTGCACTCTGTCCCGTCACTAGTGCCCGGATGCGCTGTCAGCTATTACCCGGTCGGTAATCGTCTGACGGTTAGGAGACAAATTACGGTACGCAGTGAATAATATGGTAGTAATGAGGACCTCGCTAACACTCATCTCTGTCATTTGTTGACAAGCAAAAATGTTAATAGCACATCGTTGATACTACGTCCTTTTTAACATGAAAATTCTAATTTTTTTTAAAGGCGATCGCAGTACGCTATTTCAACTTTTTTTTGATATGGTATTTCAACAACATTTTGACAGTGATAGGGACAATGTAGATTGAACCCATAAACTTCACTGATGCATATAACTAATACATGCCGTTACCGTTATAACCTATAAAAAGTCCACTGCTGGACGTAGGACTCCTCCATAGATTGCATGACAAGCTATAAGAATTTTTTCTTGCGGTAATGTAGTAGTAATTAAACAAAAGAGTGAACAAGCTATAAGAATTTTTTCTTGCGGTAATGTAGTAGTAATTAAACAAAAGAGTGAATTTCAGTAAGTATTATTTATAATCTATATTAATCGACGTCAATCGACGGATTCAACTCGGTTGGGCAGCGTTCGGGAAATTACGGCACATCTTCTCGTCAGGTATACCTCAAAACTTGAAAACGAGACTGTACACCCAGTGCGTGTTGCCAGTGATGACATACGGAACTGAGACGTGGTCCTTCACTGCTGGCCGGATGAGGAAGCTCAAGGTCGCTCAGCGAGCTATGGAGAGGGCTATGCTCGGAGTTTCTCTGCGTGATAAACTCAGAAATGAGGATATCCGCAGTAGAACCAGAGTGACCGACATAGCCCAACGGATTAGTAAGCTGAAGTGGCAATGGGCCGGCCATATAGCTCGAAGAACCGACAACCGATGGGGAAGAAAGGTTCTCAAGTGGCAGCCTCGTACCGGCAGGCGAAGTGTAGGGCGTCCCCCCACTAGATGGAGTGACGACCTGGTAAGATTTGCAGGAAGTCGATGGATGCAGGTGGCTCAGGACCGTGCTTTGTGGCATTCTTTGGGGGAGGCCTATGTTCAGCAGTGGACTTGTGAAGGGCTGTAATGATGATGATGATGATGATATTGAATAAAAGTTTGTGAGCATAATCCTGAGCATAATTCTTTCGAAGATGTGGCACTGCAGTGGGACTTAAGTAAGCTGTAACTTTAAACAAAACACTTAGAAAGACGACAGATACTAAAATAAAAGGTGAGATAATTCGCATGCTAAGCTTGGCGATTTCGGTAAATAGTCGTTTGTACTGAAAAGAAGGGCAGCTCATATTGAGTGTAGACCTTTTTAGTTCATCATACTGCATTGCAGGGAACTTCAATACATACAACTGGTTTTTTAATCTTACGAATATGCTCTTATTAGCTTATTATTATTTTTCGTACCTTTATGTTTAATAACTGCTATTATACTACTAAAGAGTACATAATTGATAATAACCCCTGGGAATGAGATGATCGTTACCATGCTGTTTCTAAATGTTTTCATATTTAATTGTATAAATAGTATATTGTAAATTAATGTTTAAAAAGAAAAGGTTCCGCTAGGTTTCTTGTTGGTTCTACCCAGGACAGAAGCCTTTTTTTGTCTCGAACTAGTGGTAAAGTTTAAATTACTTTCTAAATATTATTGTAATTTATGTTGAATAAAAATGATTCTATTCTATTCTATTTTTAAACTCTATGCATGTTTCAACAGTGGTAGAGCCACGCGGCAGCTTTTATTGTCGCACGGATAGGCCGGCTCGAACCGGGGTAGTACCACGACCTCACAGAAAACCAGCGTGAAGTAGAGGTTTACCTCTGCGTTTCGCTTGGTGAGTGCAGGTGGCCGGAGGCCCTTTTTACTGGAAATGAGGCATTCCATCTTAGTCCTCACGGGTGACAACGCATCTACATTTTGATTTATAACAGAGGATAGATGTAGATGTCTATGGGCCGCAGCAACCACTTACCATCAGGTGGACTGTGTGCTCGTTTGTCACCCTTATCCTATAAAAAAAAAAAAAAAAAATGTATGAATTTAATTTAATTTTTCAATTCAGTTTTTTTTCTACTTCCGCACGTCCGAATAATTTGACAATTTTGCGAACCGATGACAATACAAAAATTTCAGAACTATGGCTTATTATTCACACTAGAATTATCATAGCTTATGATAAAAGTGTAGTGATCGGATGTTTAAACTATAATTTTATTATGTTATATATATATATAGACGTGGTAGAGCCACGCTGCAATTAAATTATGATTGTAGTACGAATGGTTCGGCTTGATCGGAGAAGGACTACGCTCTCACAGAACACTAGTGTAAAATAGCAGCTTAATGCTGTTGTATTTCGTATGGTAGATTGCTGGTGACCCTTTTTATTGTAAACGGACGTTCTATTTTAGTTCTCGGCGATCTAAACGCATCTTTATTTAGATTCTTAATCGAAGACATGTAGATGTCTATGGGCCATAACATCGACTTACCATAAGGATGACTGTGTGCTGGTTTGTCACCTTTATACTATAAACATATATTATAATTTTTTTTTTAAAAATTAAAATAAAAGGAACATATTCATTTGCTTCGCAAACAATGATGAAATCAAATATCATCTCATAACCTATACGGTATGCTCAATTCCACGATTTGGCTCTGTGACGCATGTTGTAACAGTTTGGTTGCAGCGTTGTAGGCCGCAGGTTTAATTCATCTCGGAATAAGTATAGCCATACAAATACATAATTTATTTTAGATCTAAATGCATACTCTATGTATGCAATGTTTGCTGTTTGCTACCGTGTAGTGGCGGTGTTACTAAATCAACTATCCCATATCGATTCGAGGGTACCGTAAGAGGCTACGGAGAGAACCAAGCGATAACCAGCAGCGTTTTCCTAATAACAACTTAAAAATTAAAAAAACGTGGTAACTATGGTAAATATACGTGGTAGAGCCATGCTGCAGCTATATTAGTAGTATAGTTGCAGCACGAATCGATCGGCGCGACCGGGGAAGGACCACGCTCTCACAGAATACCAGCGTAAAATAGCAGCTGTGTTACAGCTGTGTTTCGTATGGTGATTGTAGAGAATCGGAGACCATTTTTACTGGAAAAGGAGGCATTACATCTAAATCCTCACGGGTGACAACGCATCTGCATTCTGATTTTCAAACGAGTATAAATGTAGATGTCTATGGGCCACAGTAACCACTTACCATCAGGTGGAATGTGTGCTCGTTTGTCATCCTATCCTATAAAAAATATATAGCGGAAATATTTTCCATAGTTGAGTAATCTATGAGAAAGGCCTATGTTGGTTTGTTAGTCTATAACGGTTTACGGGCTTATGACATGATCGATACCATCGATCGATCGGTGTGGTAGGAACTATCGAATCGAAATATCGTTTGGTAACAACCTTTATCACTTAGCAGTTAGTTAATGCTGATTTTTCAATCGTCAAACAAAGTTTTGCAATAAATGAATTATAACTTGACTGAATATAAAAGTGAAACAAATGAACTATTTTATTCAAACAATCGTACTTTTTAATTTGATTATATTGTATTTTAGCCCATGCTTAACTTTTAACTGACGATTACAAAATCTGTCTTTAGATGTGTGTTTTATTTAGTTGGAATCTAACTTGGTTGCTTGGCTCGTTTCTCTTAAAGTTAAATCAATGAACCAAGCACCGATGCAGAGTAAATAATAAATTGGATTTGCATATGTTTGCAAAGCAGTGTTTGCAAATCAATTCACGAGTGTTATTTGTCACATGTTTCAGAATGTGCATATGTTTGTAAGTTTGTTATTGCTTAATAGCATATATTCTACATATACAACGTAATATAGGCTTAATTTTTGAGCCAAAAAGATAAATTAATTTTATTGTCTGACCTATGAAAAAAATAAAAACAAATTAATCGAAATATTCGATTTGATAAAGATATATTCGGTCTAAAATCGAATACTGGAGTGTCTATGTCGGAGGAGCTTGTAATACTAGAGCCTCGCCCGGTTGCAATGTCACCTCGCCAAGTGGTACTGTGTCTCTGAAAAAAAAAAAGACAATTATATATTTCAAATTTTAATATAATTATATTTAAATCCCTATTAAATATAATTATCACACAGGCCACCGACGCGGAGCTCCGTGTTCCTCTCTGGATTATAACCGACTCAATTTTTTATTTATTTTTCACTTAATTGCTTGTATCAAATTTTCATTGTCAAATGAGTTGATTGATAGGAAATGCCTCAATGTAATAATTTTGTCCGGTGTATTTTTTTAAGGAATGCAATAGAGTTTATTTAAAAAAATTCACATAAATAAATGTACTGAATTTTATCGCTTATGAATCAAAAAGATATATTTTCTGCCGACTTCAAAAAAGGAGACGGTACTCAATTCGACTGTATGTTTTTTTTATGTGTGTTACCTCATAACTTTGTACTGGGTGAACCGATTTCGATGATTCTTTTTTTATATGAAAGCTGATAGTTTTCGTGTGGTCCCATATGAATTTGATCAAGGTCAGGCAAATAGTTTTTGAGTTATTCTTAAATAACTTATATTGAAGTCGGCTGTACAAAATTTTTAATTTTAAATTATTTTGTAACAATACAGTTTTATAATATATTTTTTACTAGCAACACGCCCCGGCTTTGCGTAAATCCATTAATGTAGCGTTATAATGGATTAAGGTAATCATCAAAGGCCAATTTATTTAAAATATTAAAAAAAACTATTCCGATAAAATATAGCCTAGATCACATTGTTCGCATTGTTCACTATAGAGATATGTTCTGCAAGATCCGTCGCAGAAGGACGCAAACATTTTCCGATCATATTCTTTATCTAATGACTATTAGACAGGAAATTAAGCTGCAGTCTTCAGCAGATTTGACAGCATACAGACAACTGAACGAACAGATCTCCAAATACATGCGATGGGACCTACGCAACTTCAAAACAGCTCGTATTGAAGAAGAAATCGAGCGAAACCAGGGCTCCAAAATCTTTGCCAAAGACAGATCTCTGGCAAAGATTTTGAAGCTGCAATCTTCAGTAGATTTGACAGCATATAGGCAACTGAATAGACAGATCTCCAAATGCATGCGGGAGGACTTACGCAACTTTAAAACTGTTCGTATTGAAGAAGCGATCGAGCGGAACCAGGGCTCCAAAGTCTTTGCTAGAGATCTGTCTGCCAGAAAGAGCCGACTGTCGAAGCTAAACCTAATGTGGCAGCATAGTTTCCGGGACACCTGAGATTTTGAGTGAGATTGAAACGTTCTATGCTGCACACGTCATAGTTAGATCCACACGCAAATCTGAGTAACGGTCCAAGAGCAAATCTTATCCGATACTATTTCGATCATAACCCGGATGCCTTTCTGAGTAAGATTAGAATGGCTCTCCAGCACCTTAAGAACGGCAAGACCCCGGGCGAGGATGGAATTACTTCTGAAAGCGGGTGGAAAACGAGTACTCAAATTCCTTCAGAAGCTCTGTAATTACGTCCTCCATGATGGAACTACTCCAGAGGCGTGGAGCAGAAGTGCAGTGGTCTTGTACCTCAATAGAGGCGACAACGCTCTCTTGAAGAACTACAGACCGATTTCCCTTCTGAGCCGCGTCTACATGCTGTTTTCGAGAGTCATTACGAATCGTCTCGCGCGCAGACTTTACGACTTCCAGCCTCCCGAACATCCGGTTTCCGAATGGGCTTTAGCACCATAGACCACATACATACCCTTCGGCAAATTGTACAGAAGTCCGAGGAGTACAATCTTCCACTTTGTCTTGCGTATGTGAACTATGAAAAAGGCTTTGATTCCTTTGAAATTCGGGCGGTGCTGCAGTCCCTTCAGCGGTGCCAAGTTGACTGTCGGTATATCTTGTTTGTTATCCGAGTACAAAACCAGAGTACGAAACCCATCCAAGTGTAGAGAGGTGTAAGACATGGTGACGTTATATCCCTTCTAGCTCTTCACCGCTGCATTGGAAGACGTTTTCAAACTACTGGATTGGTAAAGATACGGTATAACATCAATGGCGAGTATATCACTCACCTTCGATTTGCCGGCGATAAAGTCCTTGTCTCAGAATTGCCGGAGGACCTAAGCACTTTTATGCTAAATGACCTTAACAGTGTCTCCCAGCGGATAGGTCTTATGATGAACATGGACAAAACGTGACGTGGGTCACACTTATGCCAGTAGTTATCGGGAGCACTACGCTCGAAGTTGTTAGCGAGTATGTTGGCCTGGGACAAATAGGCCGACTAGGAAAGTCCAACTTCGATCGAGAGGTCAATCGTTGGATTCAGCTCGGCTGGGCAGTCAACTGAGTGCCGGTATACAGAAGTGCAGAAGAGTTTGTACAGTAGAGTACGTTGGCAGTAGTACAGAACCAGACTATGAAACCTATCCAATTACCCCCCCCCCCCACTAGATGGAGTAACGACCTGGTAAGACATGCAGAAAGTCGATGGATGCAAGTGGCTCAAGACCGTGCTTTGTAGCAAAACTTGGGGGAGGCCTATGTTCGACAGTGAACTTGGGTTGTAATGATAATGATGATGACTTAGTATGTCAATAATTCGATTAAGTACACTCATGTATCAATGTTATAAAATTTTAATCGGTGTGCGATAGGTGTAGATTACCACAGGGACAATTGTCGCAGTAAAAGATATTGAACGCAATTCAGATATACATAATCCTGGTTTAAGAGACAAGAGATAAAATTATATAATTATTTAAGCTTCGAATGACATAACTGTTTTTATCAAGAAATTATGTCATCGGTTTGCTGCAACGTCTCCACGAAATTCTGATGGTTGCGTTTAGCCAACTCTGTAGGCGGTAGAGATGTTTTCTTTTATTTAAAAAAGATTGCCAATGACCGTGCTAATAAGGAGTTTTTGGTCATACGACCACCACTCCGACATCTATATTAAGTGAATGATCACTGGATTTCGTTTTCTAAATTATTATCAAGCTCTAAATTGAAGTCGGTGTCGACATGGTCGGTAGACACAACAGACACAACATTGAGCGGTACTTCCTGGGGTTTGCGTTATGATAACGGGGTTCATTGGTGATCTGCACATCGACTCATCTAAAAATCCTGCTAAGCTGTGGTTTAAGGGCTCCGACCACAGGCTTTACCAAAAGACGGCATTGTAATTCAGACTTTGCTCTGGTATGTACGACCTTATTTGTCTATCTTATGGTTTATGGGTCCATATTTCTGGAAGGGAATTTCGGGTAAACCATGTTCAACACTCTATACATATTGCCAAATCCGCTACCATAAGCAACAATTCTTTGCCTTTAGACATCTGTCGGACCGATTGTTTTCCTAAACGTGCCCTCAGAAACCTTTTACATAATACTCCAATTTGCAAAACTATTTTATTTATTTATTTATTTATTTAATTCTGAACAATACAAATTGTGTTGAATAATTTATGCAAAAATACAATTAAAATGTTTAACAATAAAATTTACAATTATATAAAATTACAATAAAAATATAATTTACAATCAATATTAAATTAAAATTATTTTAACAATTAATATAAAAATTAGATTATGAAAAATTACAATTAAGTATGTAGAAATTACAATAAAAATTAGAAGTCAAATCTCATCAGTCAATAAAATAAAGTATAAAATATCACAAAATATAATAACATATTATGTCATAAAAAAAATTACGATTATTTTTAAATGTCATCAAAAATTTTAAAACATTGAAGATTATATTGTAGTATCAGCATGTAGAAATTCGTCAACACTATAATAACATTTTTCTAGTAGGAACTTTTTTAAGGTATTTTTGAAACTATCCTTGTATAACATATTTTTTAAGTCAGTAGGTAGTCTATTAAATAGAAGTACTGATCGATATTGAGAACAGTGTCTAGTCATTACCATACGAGGGACAATTTTATTATGAAAGTCTTTTCTTCTAGTGTTTTCTCTTATGGTTTTTTGGTCTATCGTCTCATATTCGCCAATAACTTTTGCAAATTGCGTGAGTAAGACCAGTATATACAGACATGGAACAGTCAAGATCCCAAGTCTTTTGAAGTGTTCGCGACACGATTCTTGTGCTTTTATCCGGACCATGGTTCTGATTGCTCTTTTTTGCAGAACAAAGGCTTTGTGTACATTATATTTAAAGCTTCCCCCCCAAAATAAGATACTATAACGTAATCTTGACTCCACCAATGCGTAATAAACCAATTTTAAATGTTCAAGATCAGCTTCATCCCGTAAGCTTCTTAGTACGTAACAAGCTGAGCTTATTTTACCCTCAATCTCGTCTAATTCATGTTTCCACTTCAGATCACTGTCTATCCTCACTCCTAAAAATTTGGCTACTTCTACAGACTGTACTGTTTTATCACCTAGTGTAACATTCAGGGTTGTGTTTTTCCTGACGTTGTTGCGGAATAACATAACATTTGTTTTGTTAGTGTTGATCGACAGGCCGTTGACAGTAAACCATATTCTAATGATTTCCAATATTTGGTTTATTTTAATTTCTAGGGTCACTATTTCAGAGGCTGAGATAACAACATTAGTGTCATCTGCAAAGAGGACTAGCTTTGTTGAGTCTGTCATTTTACGTACATAATTGTTTAAATCATTAATAAAAGTAATAAATAATATGGGACCTAAAATGGAGCCTTGAGGTACACCCACTTTTACGTTAATCATTTTGGACTTCGTCACCATTTCAGACATGCTATCGTTCACTGTTTTCATTTCTACGAACATTTTTCTGTTTTGCAAATAAGATTGAAAAAGTTTCAGAGCTTGTCCTCGAACCCCATAATATTGCAATTTTGCCAAAAGAAGATCATGATTGATGGTATCGAACGCAGAGCTCAAATCGAGAAAGAGTGCAGCTACCTTAAATTTATTATTCAATTTGTCAATGACATCATTGAGCAGTGCGTCTATTGCGTCCTGTGTACCGATGTTGCTTTGATAACCAAATTGCCCTCTATCAATAACCTTGTTTAAGATAAGATGAGCCACCAACCTAGACTTAATTATGCGTTCGAATATTTTTGATATTGTGGGTAGTAAAGATATAGGCCTATACATCTTGGCATCCGATATTGAGCCTTTCTTGTGAACAGGTACGACTTTCGCAATTTTCAGTTGATCAGGGAAAATGCCCTCCTTTATGCACTTATTAAAGAAACAACACAATGGTTCGGCGAGAAGATCTATATTTCCTTTTATTATAGTAATGGGAATATCATCAAAACCGCAGGATTTCTTGGCCTCCATATTTTGTATGATCTTTCGCACCTCTTCTACAGATGTTGGTCTTAGTGTTATATCGTTTTCGACTCGATTTGTATTACGATTAAGATATGTTAGTGCCATCTCAATATCTGTTGACTCATTATTGATACTATGATCAAACTGTTGAACAAAGATATCTGCAATCTTACCTGGTTCGTGAACAATGTTTTTGTCCACCTTTAGTATTAGTTGGGTTTGTATTTTTCCCGCTAGGTTCCTATGCCTGTTAATGAGTTTCCATACACTTTTGGATAAATTTTTGGAACGAGCGATCTCATTTTGAACTGCGTATTTTTTTGTTAGTCTAATGATTTTCCTATAAATCGTAATGTATTTGTTACGGTACCTGACAACTGATTCGTCAATATGAGATCCTTTACTTGTGCAAAGAAACCGTTTCATTTGACTTGATACTTTTACACCTTTGGTAATCCATCGTAAATTTGATTTTTTGTAAGTGTTTATAATTTTATTTTTATTCTTAAAACAGTCATCAAATAAGGCCTTAAATTTACTATACATTTACTACTATATAATAAGAATTGCCATACCCTACCCCACCCCACATACAAATGCTAAAAATGCTGTAAAGCGCTTTAGGATGAAATGGACGAGATTAATTTCATTTTTTATAACCAGATAAATAGTTTTCTACTTTTAGATATATTACTAGTATTCCTGTAAATCACTTCGAATGTTAAAAGCTGTTTGTGCTCGATAATGTCACAAAAGTATTCGGACCTTTAAGTTTCGCAGGTTACTGTCGCTAGCATTGCTTCTAAAAGTATAGTAATAAATCAAGAATTTTCCAGGGATTCCCAAAGTTTTCGCCCCGGCGCCCTGGTGTGCCGTAGAGAGCAAGGACCGCCGTGAGGCGTTTCTGTTTACTATTCTCTGGAAACTGAAATTAGGTATTCGTGGGAACAAAATAAACAATACAAATCGCGCGCTGCATACTTCACTCACTCGCCAATAAGTACTTGCACTCGAAAACGGGTCCAAAATGAATTTCCAATTTTAAGTTCAAAAGCTTTAAGATTTTTAATGCCTATTCTTATTAAGGAAATAAGTTCCTTTGCAAAATCTTATTCCAAGCTTCATGTTGTGGATGTTTAAATTTTTGTGCTTATGTAACTTGTTTATTGTAGCCTATTTCGACTAGCTAAGGCGCCGAGACAAAATACAAAACTTGTAAGTGCGTCGCGAACAGAAAACGTTTGGGAACACCTGCATTTTCCACTTATTAGAAACGGCACTTACCCAGGAACTCTCCTCGAAAATATACTTGAAGCGTATACTGTCATTGGTTCCGCTAGAAGAGTGATCGTGGATAAATCAACTGTATCTGTTTCGGTGCCTACATTAAACACCAGAGCGAATGTGTCATAAGTGATTATGTGACGCACTAAGACAAGTGTGTTCTTTGATAGCGCTTGAATGTGATGATCACCGTGAGACACAGCTGGTTCCTTACGAAGTCTTGTAAGAGATTGGTACACCTAATAAAAATTAAGAAAATTATATAAATTAACAAGAATGTTGGTAACAGTATGTTTCACTTAATTTTCGTGTTGACTCTTAAAATCAATACAAATATCGCAAAGAATCAAAACGCTTATTACTTAAAAAAAATTACGTCTTAAAGCCTCGCTGCCGCTACATTATGGTTTTACTTATATCATTGTACAAAGCGGAGACCCTTTTTACTAGAAACGAGACATTGCATCGTAGTTCTCATGTGAAACAACGCATCTGCATTTTGATTCTCAATCGAGGGTAGATGTAGATGTCTACTGACCACAGCGTCCACTTACCATCAGTTTACCTGATAACAAGTACTTACTGCAGCCTACAGACAATTGCAATTAACTTTAAACAAAGAAGGCCATACAGATGCGTTGTTAAATCTGAGGATAAAGCTGTAACGCCTCACAGCCTGTAAATGAACTGGATTTCTGTATTCTTTAAACAGGATCACAGCTGTGCAGGAATTGCTATTTGAAGTTAATATTGTGCTTATAACATTATATTAATGAGATTGGTAAATGTTCCTTTACCTTAAAATGACTTCGTTCGGCTTCCTTTTGCGCTTGCAGATTTATCTCTCTATAATCTTCTGCCACCGGCAACCATGTTGATTGACTAGTAGAGAAGCCAGCGCTGGTCGAGTTGTTCCAATGGTACGGAGTCCTAGCCGGATCCCTCGAATATTCTAAATAGTTGTCCGGGTTGCCTTGATTGCACGCGGACACATCAACGGTATCCTCCCAACTGACGTAACCGTCCCTCATTCCGATTTCCTCTCCTTGATATGTTATCGCTACACCGGGCAGCATCATGTTCAAGCCGTTGAGACCATCAACCATATTGGTCCTGAATCTTGACGGCATTCTGTTATTGTCGTGGTTACCAAACTAAAACAGATGAAATTTAATAATATTATTAACATCAATCAATGGTTTGAACTCGTTGATCACATGACCTGTTGACCATGAATATTAAACCGGTAGTTTTCACGTAAGTTAAAACTGCTTACTTACCACCCAGTTAGCAACTTGTCCTCGCGGCATGTAGGTCAGCCATCGGTTTATAACGTACACAAAGTCTCGAGCGTTTGATTTAGCAGAGAGGCTGGTGATAAAGTCAAAATTAAAGGGAAAATGTGCCCCAATGCGACCGCGTTCGTTGCCGTAATACAACATAGTCATTGTAATGTTGGCGTACGCTTCAGCTAAAAGAACTCTGAAAAAGAAATTTCGGAACACGAATGTAACAATATCGTGTCCTCCACTAAATTAGGTCACAGCGGCTGGTCTTAACGGAGAGTAGCCACCAACACCAGGACAGGAATTTTTTTATTTAATGGATGTGACAAACATGCACACAGCCCATCTGATGGTCAGTGGTTGCTGTGGCCCATAGACATCTGCATCTATCCTCGATTAAGAATCAAAATGCGTGGTCATTCGTGAGGACTAAGATGGAATGCCTCATTTCCAGTAAAAAGGGCCTCCGGCCACCTGCACTCACCAAGCGAAACGCAGAGGTAAACCTCTACTTCACGCTGGTATTCTGTGAGGTCGTGGTACCACCCCGGTTCGAGCCGGCCCATTCGTGCGACAGCAAAAGCTGCCGCGTGGCTCTACCACTGTTAAAATTATATTAATACGAAGTTGCAAGTTGGAACCACGCTGCAGTGCTTCAATCATAATTTAGTTACAGAACAAATAGTTCAGTTTGACTGGGAAACTATATATAACTTTGAGAACATCATCATCATCATCATTATCACAAAACGGTCCTAAGTTGTCCTGGATTCCTCTTACCAAGTCGTATTTCACCTAGTGGGTGCAGTGCTCCTCTTCGCTTACCAGTACGAGTCTGTCGCTGGAGATCTTTTCATTCTATCGGTTGTGGATTCTTTGAGCTATTAGGCCAACCTATTGCCACGTCAGGTTACTGAACTGTTAGGATATGTCGGTAGTTCTGTATTTACTGCTGATATCCTTAACACTAAGTTGATCACGCAGAAAAACTCCGAGCATAGCCGTCTCCATAGCTCGCTAAGTAACTTTGGGCTTCCTCATACGGCCAGCAGTGAAGAACTACGTCTCAGATCGATATGGCATCTCATTTGAAAACAAATAACACTGTTATTTAACTTTACTTACTTAGTTTCCGCTTGGTTATCTTCCTGCCATCTGTCAACGAAATCTCTCCATTCATACACAACATCGTAGAGCTCTATGAGATCTCTAACATGCTCTTGAGTAGTGTACCCAGGCTGATCACTAGTCAGAAACATGTTACCAGTTAATGGTTCATCTGGGTACACGCCGCCATGGTCGTTTGGATTAGCTTCAAACAGATGGGGTATGGCATCAAGGCGGAACCCGTCCGCTCCTTTTTCTATCCAGAATCTCATTATGTTCAGCATCTCTTGTCGTACTGCGGGCTCGCGGAAATTAAAGTCGGCTTGCTCGACCGCAAATTGATGTAGGTAGTACTGTTGGCGTATTTCATTCCATTCCCACACGCTGCCTCCGAATTGGCTTATCTGTATTTTAATTTCAGTCACATAAACACAATTGTAATAAAAATAAATAAATATAAAAAATTCATATTAACATAAATTAAATTAATTTTTTTATAGGATAGGGTGACAAACGAGTACACAGTCCACCTGATAGTAAGTGGTTGCTGTGGTCCATAGACATCTACATCTATCCTCGTTTGCGAATCAAAATGCAGATGCGTTGTCACCCGTCAGGACTAAGACGGAATGCCTCATTTCCAGTAAAAAGGTTCACTGGTTCCCTACACTCACCATACGAAACACAGCAGTGTTAAGCTGCTATTTTACACTGGTATTCTGTGAGAGCGTGGTCCTTCCCCGGTCGAGCCGACCCATTCGTGCTAGAACTATACTACTAATATAGCTGCAGCATGGCTCTACCACGTAAATTAAAAAAGACATTAATTTTAAAAATATGCATAGTTAATTCATATTAAATTTTTTAAATTAAATATTTTAATGAATAAGCTTTAATATTATTTCTTATAATAAATTTTTAGAAAAATAATTAAAATTCAAGGTCCTTCTTAGCTCTCAGGGGTGACAAATCTAGAATAGATGTGGGTGTATATAAGCTAAATTATTTACTAACCCCATCCTAATAGCAGATAGACCAGGATCATTGACTAGTCAAAAAATATCTAACTTTCGTCACTAAACCAAATGTTACGTAATTTTAATATTTTTCTCATTAAATGTAATCTCTAACTAAAATGACCATTTAAGTATTGGTCAATTACAGATAGTCTAATAAACTCTGTAAAATTGAATGCAATACCCAATTGTGACAAAAGTGGAAAAAATTGGAGTAGGCTCGTAGAGAGGTCGGTTCGTAGAGTGGTTCTTAACAATAATTAGGTAGTTCAAGTAATATTATTTGTCAAGAGGTATTATTGATTGTAATTTCATGCGAGTAATATAAAATTATTTTTAATTTATTTTTTATAATTTTGTTGTTTTTATCTGTTAAAATTTTGTATTTTATAGTATTTCATAAAAAAAATTCAAAGGCAGCTGAACTAAGTAAGTAGCGCATATATAAGACTCTGAGAGATGATTTCTGTAGAGACTACCGGTTCGCAGGATTCACGTGCGGTGAAGTTCTTAAAGAAACTGTATCCACGAGTGGTTATCGCTGTTGGTGATAAGAGAGCTGGTTCTTTTCTCGGTCAAATGGTAAATACAACCATTCAGGGAGAAAACGTTGCCAGCGTTCTTGGTACAGCGATACCCCGTTGAGTAGGACTCTACGAATACGAATATGATAATTTAAGTTTTTACGAGTAGTTTTAGTTATTTTCATTTCATTTTTTTTTTCATTTTTTGAAAAAAAAAAACGTTACCCCCACACTAGGATTTTCTCCTGTGTCGTGGAGGCAGTTTACAAACATAAATTGCACAAGGACAAACATCCAGACCCGGAACAATTATTTGTAGACCATACAAATACTTGTTCCGTGCGGGATTTGAACCCGCGGCCCCCAGCGCAGCAACTGATTGCTAAGCTACTGCGCCACGGAGCTGTCAAATTTTACTATATTTTTTTTAATATTGTATATATATATATTTCAATGTGTAATAAATGATGATGATACCAATAAATATTAATTAATGAAATGTATTACAATATTGTCAAGGAAATAAATGGCTATAATAATATCAATAAATACCCAATTAGATGGAACACGACTGTTATTCTGTGAATCAATCACTGGATCTGCCCACACGAAATAGTTTTCGTACCCAGGCTCCCTGGCCACCGACCGCTTGAAGTAGTCTGATTCGGTACTGGCGTGGTTTGGTACGTAGTCCAAAAGAACCTTGATACCTGTTAAAACAAAAAGCGTTCGAGCAATTATAAACAGGAAAACAGTAGCAAGCCTTTTGGTATTCGGTAGGGTACATATATTTAGGAGAGTGCGGTCAGGAATTACACAATTTAAGTAATATCTCACTTCTTTTTTTGTACTATTTTTTAGAATAAAAGTAACAAAAAAAAGTAGAAAAGTTTCAATTAACAATTTCATTGCTGCTAGCGGGGATCTGTTGCTCGTACACTGTGAAATTTACATCGAGCGCATAACCCCTAAACTACCATGGCTCACATGAAGATACTATTTTTGAAATTTTTATTTACGAGCACAAAGTCCACCTGATGGTAAATGGATGCTGTAGTTCATAGACATCTACATTTATCCTCATTTAAGAATTCACATGCAGATTTGTTGTCACCCCTGAGCACTAAAATGGAATGCCTCGTTTCCAGTAAAAAGGTTCTCCGGTTTTTCTTTCGGTACACTCAGTCAACATACAAAACACAGCAGCATTAAGCTGCTATTTCACACTCGTATTCTGTGAGAGCGTTCTCCTACCCCTGTTGAGCCGACCCATTCGTGCTACAACCATAATATAGCTGCAGCGCGGCTCTATCACATACAAATCTATTATTTCAAAATCAGACACTAGGCTAGATTTTTTTTACAAATTAACTTACCGAGTTCATGCGCACGTGAAACAAGCTCTTCAAAGTCAGCCATGGTTCCGTATTCATAATGAATGTCGTAGAAATCGCTGATGTCGTAACCAAAGTCGATCATTGGCGAGGAGAAGATCGGTGACATCCATATCGCACCAACACCGGCATCCACGAAGTGTTCCAACTCACTGGTAATGCCTGTTATCAGTTAACAGGTAGAATTACATGGCGGTTCATTCATTTATCATTTATTACTTATCGGAAGTCTACTACTGAACACGGGGGGAGGGGGATATTTGTCATAGCTTAGAAACTGTATTTTTATTGTTTCGTTTACCTCTATCACCTGTTACGGCACCCATAGTTTGATGTTTAGTAGTGGATTCTTGTGGCAGCAGGTGCTCAACCTAGATAATTTGACGACGTTTAGCTTAGGCACTATAAGGTCGATGCTGGTTCGATTCACACGCGGTACAAGTGTTTGTATGGCCCAAAAATAAGTCTTAAAATCTTATTGTGACGATGATTGTTGTTTTTTTAATAGTTGATATAATACAATTTGTAATTATACGTAGATCATCACATTCTATTATGTTCCTCATCTGATAAGTTAGATTTGTACTGAATGAAATTATTTGTGCGGATTTTATTGCGTTTAATTAATTTCAAAAACGAATAGAATGAAACTAAAGCCATATCACTAAGACGTCGATCAACTACGTTCCAAAACCATAGGCGCTGCAAAGTACGCGTAATGTCGCGAATATAAAATACATGTGTGTGAGTGGCGGTGTAAGAATATCCATCACCTCATATCACCCATGGATGTCATAATACCGAGGGAAACAACCCAGGAGATGGGCTTCTGCGTCTTCCTAATAACATCTGGATCATCTCCAAAATTTGTAGAGGTGGGGGTGGGATTTAGCTTTGTTTAGCTGTGGCCTTTTTATAGGTGATGTTGACGATGATGACGAATGCGATAATATCCATAAAAAATAATTTCATTCACTGTGTAGTGCTGGCGTAAATATAAGAACTCTTTAGATTTGCTATTTCGTTGTGTAAGTAATCTCCTTCTTTATCATTATCATCGGTTCGTAAAAGTCCATTACTGGACATGGGTCTCTATCGTTGTGGGGAGGATTTGCCATCATCGTCACGCTTGATGATCTTAATACAAGACGTCTCGCACATTTGACACTGCTGCCCTTCGCCAATCTGAGTATTATACGTCTGCGTAAAACAGATGGCTAATAATATCCCCCAGATCGAATTTTGGTCACAACGGTCAGTCTCAACGAAGTCTAGCCATCTGCGCAGGACAGGATTATAGTGTCGAAGTGCATGCGCAAGCACAGGTGCACTCTTTATTCCCTCACTCTGATAGTCCGATGGGACGTTACCCTGATACGACCGGCGAGAGATCAGGCGTAGGACGGGGCTCAATACCGCCAACTTCCTGACTCCGGACTGCTACTGAGAATTTCTTGCCAGAAAAAAACCAGTAAATGATTTTGACCTGACCCTGGATTCGGACCTATGATTCGGACCTTATGATGAGCAATCTCGTTTACACCCAGGCAGTCAAAACGAGATGGCTATACCTACCACTAAGAGATGATGTACTCTCTTAAGCTGTTACCACAGGGGTGCTAATTTCAACAAATTATTATTTTGTATTTAATTCTCTTTAAATTTCTCTTTTAATTTCGATAAAATAACTCTTTACAATGATAAACTGGTAATATTAATGACTGAATTTAGTAATTATCAGATACAAGCTATAAGCCATATAACACCCTATTTCATCCCCTCAGGGGAGAATTTTCTAAAATCCTTTATTAGTGGGTGTCCACGTCGAGTAAGGAATTTCAAGTCAGTCGGGCGAATGGTTTTGGAGATCTCGTGTTGAGTGAGTGAGTCAGTGGTATTTGGTTTATATATATAGAAGATATGCATAGTTAGCGACAATCTATGTGGGAGGCCTATGTTGAGCAATAGACTTGTGAAGAGATAAAAAGATGTAGATGTTGATGAAATTTTGAATTTTAGAAAGAAGATATATGTTTAACTAGCTGTTCCCCGCGACTTCGTCCGCGTGGAATTATTTTGCGCGGAACCTTAGAATATAAGTAGCCTAAGTTACTCCTTGGCTTACACATAAAAGATAGATATATACTATCACGGACTTTTTTGTAGAACTCTTTAGGAGAAACAATTCAACCATACATTATATTCGTGTAACTCTTACAGTTTTTGCACCGCACGCCAAAATAGCTCGCAGATGACAGATTTTTTTTCGCCTTAACATTTTTCGTTATATTTTGGCCAATTCACACAATCTTTATACATAAAAATTACGTGTCACATTTATGTCCGCGATGAACTCTTAAACTACTGAACTGATTACAATGAAATTTGGCACACTGTGTGCAGTTTGGTCCAACTTGAGAGATAGGATAGTTCTTATCCCGTTAAGTGACCCTCAATATTTTTTATTGGTAATTTAAGGATTTTTATAGGACAAAGTCGGAGACGGCAGTACGACGTCTGCCTGGCCAGCTAGTATCTTTATAAATTAAAGCTTATATGTTATTCTGATGTATAAGCTATATAAGTGTAAAATATATATAATTGTTCATCCATTTGGTAGTTTTTGCTTGAAATAGTAACAAGCATCTATACATGCTCACAAACTTTCACGTTTATAATATTAGTAGGATGTTAACTCAATCTTCTTTTAGTTCTTTCAGAAATTACATCTGTCTTGATATTTTCAAAATAGTACATCTTCGGGGTCAATTATTATATATAGTACGTACATTATAACGCTTTTGAGTGGCAACCTCATATGGGTAAGCTAAGTGTAGGTCGATCTCCCACAATATATGTAGATTGACGACCGGGTAAGATAAGCAAAAATTCGATGGATGCACGCGCCTCAGGACCGTCTTTTGTGGCATTCCTCTTGATGGATTTTAATGATGATGACATTATAAGTTAAATTACATTGACTAAAATGAGCTCCTTCTCAACGGTAGACACTTGGCGGGGATAACTGATCGATTGGTAGTTGATCAGTTATCGACAGGCGAGGGTTGAAGATTAATTTAAATTGAGAAAAAATATATGCAATTAAAGTAAATTGTGTAATTATAAACTATACATGAATGTTTATCATACTACAATTATTATATTCGATTGCCATCTTGCAACCCTATTGCGAATCTGTGGATGGAACAGAATAATATAAAAATCGCGATTAAACAACAGGGGTTGATCGTAAAAGGGTGAAAATATGAAGTTGTATGTATTTTTCAATGCTAAATCATAATAAAATAAAAATAAAACATTTTGGCAAAAATATAAACACAAAATATTTAGGGGTCGGCCACCCTTATCATTTAGGTGTTTGAAAAATAGATGTTGGCCGATTCTCAGACCTACCCGATATGCACACCAAATTTCATACAAATCGGTTCAGCCGTTTCGGAAGAATTTGGTAACAAACACCGCGACACCGGAATATAAAATTCTAAAATAGATGATTCCAACCTCTTAAGTCTCCGATTCCGTCGCCATTTGTGTCTTTGAACGAACGCGGATAGATTTGATATATAACCGTGTTCTCCCACCAGTCCAAATTTCTCAGCTCTGGTGGTGACGGACCCCTTCCTATGATCGCCCATGTGACGGTGCCCACCACCACTCCAACCACAACTGCAACAGCCACCACTATCCAGGATACTCTTGTCCACGACGGCATTTTGACTAGTGGTAACTTTAGGTTGGGTCTAATCTTATAAGTGTGTTATCATTGAATATTTTTATCTACTTATCATATTGGGCTTATGTAAATTAAGAGCAATAAATTAATATTGATTTGAAAGCATTCAAATCAATTTATGGCACGTAATCAGTATGCGTATCAGTATTATCTGTACTTCTTCGTGGTAAAGCCACGCTGTAGCTCTTGGATTAGGACCGGGGAAGGACTAGGTTCGCGCAGAGTACCAGCGTAAAATAGCAACTTAATGCTGATGTACTTCGTGTGGTAAGTAACGAGAACCGGAGACCCTATTTACTGATAAAGAGGCATTTAACCTTAGTGCTCAGGGATGACAACAAATTTTCATTTTGATTCTCAATAGAGGATAGATGTAGATGTCTATGGACTACAGCATCCTAACCTACATACATACATAACCTAACCATCAGGTGGATTTTGTGCTCGTAAATATAAATAATAAAAACAGTATCTTCATGCACAGCCGTGGTAGTTTAGGGATTAAGCGCTCGTTGTAAATCTACACAGTACGCGAGTAACCAATCCCCGCTAGCACCAATGAAATTGTTAATTGCAATTTAAATTCTGATTTACTACGTGCTCGTCGGTGAAGGAAAACCATCGTGAGGAAACAACCTGCATGTCCGAGAAATTAAAAAAAAATCGAAGATACGTGAAGTTCGCCAATACACATTGGGGCAGCGCGGCGGACATTTCCTTGCCCTAAAACCCTCTCAGAAATGATTTTTTTTTTACTTTCATATGGTTCATTATTAATAGGGTATCAAGTTATATAATGGTCAGTTCATCTCATCAGACAGACGCCCTAGGTAAGGATAGGCACGACCGTCTACGAAAAGTTCATCTTTAGCTTTGTGGGACCTCCCTCATCCTTCTAAATAATCTTCCTTTCAGAGACATTCTGTACTGAAGGTTCTTGCCAATGCTCAATCTTGAGACTTGCTCTCATTGGTGCCGGTGGGAATCAAACCTGTGCTGCTCACTTTCTGTGTTTATTGTGAGCGCTTAACCCTTGAGCTACTACGTTCCTTATCTGGTATATATAAGTATCTCATATAGGTATACCAGATGTAAAATATCGAGATTTGTAATATTGTGTAATGGAACTCGAAGAGAAAACCGAAATAAAGAGCGACCTCATTATTCGGTTACAATATGTATTTTACTGAAAAATGTGGATAATGAGCGACTCCATCATTCTTGACGATGTTTTCGACAATACCTTAAGGAAAAGAACATTAAAAAAAATGTAAATGCCAATTTTTTTTTTATCTTGCATAATGCTATCAATGTTTAATCATGATCATGATTTACGAGATTCTTAAGCGTAGATATCGGTTTAGATTGGTATTCAAGTAGTCGAAGTACCAGTAAAATTAAAGATGCTACAACTATGATATATTTGCAGCGTAGCTCTACCACGTACAAAACTAAAGGGTTATATGGATATCAGAAAGTTGTACACATCAAAAACCCGAAAAGACTGACACGACCATTGTTAATTTGTTTACAATTTCCAACAACTTTAAATATACCGAATTCACGCTAGCAGACGATTTCTTGTGGTTCTTTTTTTATGTAGTTTTTTCACGATTGCACTACACGAGACGGCAGTTTTGCATTATTTGTTAAATAGCCAGATGTATCATAAAAGATCATTGTGTGCGTGTATCGTGTCTATGACTAATATAATTGTATGACCTATGGTGGTGCACGCATTTTTAATGTAACATTGCTTCCTATATTTTTACGTCCATACTTACCACGGCTTAACATTTATTTGCAAATAAAAACCATTTTTTTTAGATTTTCTACTACTTTTGAGAATCATGTTATTATTATGGTATATACGAAACTATATTTATTAATCTTAATGTATTAAAACTCAACATTCATAAGTAACAAAATAATAATACGATTCTAGAAAAGAAAGTAGAAAAGATTCGTAATATTGTATTCCCTTGAAGTCACGCAATTGAATCCAGATTTTCATTAATTCCCATCAGACATGAAATATCAAGAGACATTTATAAGATGAGAGGGAGTGCGTAAAATCAAAGGAAAGGTACTCGTTAACGGAATCAGGTTACAGAACGAGCGGAGTAAATGAAAAGACACCGAACGTGAAATGAACTTGATTCTATTGAGTTATTGTAATGCTTCGTTGTGAGGAAGCGTAATCACGAACGAAGTTGAACCAATCATTATAATATCTCGTCCCATGCGTGTCGAGAGAAATGATTAAAAGGAAATTAAAGAGGAAACCGGGAGACAAAATAAAATTTTAGTAAGCACTTTTTTAACAAAATCGTATTACGATTAATAATTAATATTAGTTCTTACGAAACCGCTCACAAGTTTGAGTTCGTAATAAATTATTATAGTAAAGGGCAATGTTCACCATTTTATTCTCAACTCAACTGAATAATCCATGTAGAATTGGTATTAAAAAAAATTAAATAGTATAGTTAGTGTAGAAAACTGGACACCATTTTTCTGAAAACGAGGCATTCTATCTTAGTCCTCAGATGTGACAATGCATCATTGTCACATCTGAATGCATTTTGATTCTTAAACGAGGATAACTGTAGATGTCTATAGGTCACAGCATCCACTTACCAACAGGTGGACTGTGTGCTCGTTTGTCACCCTTATTCTATAGAAAAAGCGGATGAAATCCATCCATCCCTCAGTATTAGCAGTTTTATTACAAAACGAGGTTTATTGATTGTTACGGGCAAAGACTTGTTCTACTAAACCTGCAATTCAGAACAAGGGCTGGATCGCGCGGACACTAGCCTAGCTACTCGCTGGCACGGTAAATGTGCTACGCAATTGTAAATTAATTTACGACATTTAGTGTTTATATCAAAAACGAAATAAAGTTACATACTTATCTGAAATAAACTTCAGATCACGTTTACAAAATGCGTACATACGAGTAAATAATGACAGCGTTTTCTTAGCCACATTGAACAAAAACAGTGTTCGACTTTCAAAATCGACGTTCAGGGTTAACAAAACAAAAACTAGTCTACTCACCCACTTGTAGTCGACTATACATAATAAGTCTTTGGTCACGGGCTTAGAGACACACACACACACACACATACAGACACACACACACCTACATCACACACACACACACACACACACACACACACTTGCTACGCACTTTTCTTTAATAGTTTATTATATCTTACGGATTAAGTTGATCACTATCTGTATTATAGCTATGGAGGAGCGTGATCTTCTAGCACAGGTGTTATTACTCTTAAAAGAAGATACCATGTTTCAAGATCATTTTAGTTGAAAAAAATTTTAGTTGATCAATAAAGATTTTTTATATTTTTTTGTTAAAGAAGAACCTTTGTCACGAAAGAAGTCCCTTAAAAATCAAGTTTTTTGGGATAAAATGTAGACTAGATCTCTCCTGCCAGATTTTGGCATTGCTCTCTATCTAATCGTAAAGTTTCATCACAATCGGTTCAGTCACTTACAGACAGACATAAACTTAAAAAAATGGCTTTCTTATGTCTTAATAGCATGCATACATTTTTTACGTGGTAGAGCATGCTGCAGCTATATTAATAGTATAGTTGTGGCACGAATGGGTCGGCTCGACAGGGGAAGGACCACGATCTCACAGAATACCACTTTTTACTGGAAAAGATAACATTTTTACTGGAAAAGAGGCATTCTATATTAGTTCTCACGGGTGACAACGCATCTGCATTTTGATTCTTTATTGAGAATAGATGTGGATGTCTATGGGTCACAGCAATCACTTATGAGTACTTAACGGTGGTAGAGCCACGCGGCAGTTTTTGCTGTTGCACGTATGGGCAGGCTCGAGCCGGGTAACCACGACCTTACAGAATACCGGCGTGAAGCTTTGCTTCTGCGTTTTGTCTGGTGAGTGCAGGTGGCCCAATCCCCCCCCCCCCCATCAACATGGTGGCGGAATTACACGAAAGAATACCCCAGGAGGGTACCAGCACCCCTGGAGAATCCCTCGCTGAGCATCCACGACCATGTTATTCCACTCCTGAGCGTGGGTGCTCAGGCTGCGCCACGTATATTCTGGAAGGGGGGGGGGGCAAATTCCGCTCAAAAACATAAGTGGTCGGAGCAAACTGATCAACAATACCATGGCGACCCCTGCCACATTATCCGTGAAGTTCTGCAACATCAGGGGACTTCACTCGAACCTAAACGCCGTCCACTACCATCTCGAGACGGCGTAGCCGGCCTTGCTCTTTCTGACCGAGAAGCAGGTGTCCTCTCCGGCTAATACTTCGTAACTCTCCTACCCGGGGTACAAATTGGAGCACTCCTTTGTGCCTCGGGCTGGAGTTTGCGTGTGTGTCAGAGAGTACGTCTGTTCTCGACGCCTCGGTAGTCTTGAAGGTCCCATCCACAGAGATCGTGATCCTTGGCAATTTTAATGCCCACCACGCCAAATGACTCGATTCACGTTTAACCGATCATGCGGGGAGATCTGTTTATGACTTTGCCTTGGCATATGGTCTGACACAACTGGTTGATTCGCCTACGCGGATTCCAGATGTGGAGGATCATACACCTTCCCTGTTGGACCTTCTGCTGACCTTTCACCCGGACGGATATCAGGTTTCCGTCGATACCCCTCTCGCCTCTTCGAACCATTGTCGGATCTGGAGTGTGGTGCCACTCACGCTCCCCTCGCGGTTGCGTTCTGCAGGTTCCCGCCGTGTTTGGCATTACAGGTCAGCGGATTGGGACGGAATGCGGTCTTTCTTTGCATGCTACCCATGAGGGCGGGTTTGCTTCTCGCCGGATGATCCCAGCGCTGTTGCTGACTCTGTCACTGATGTGGTGCTACAGGGAATGGAACTATTTATTCCATCATCTGTGGTACCCATCGGTGGCAGATCTCAGCCTTGGTTTGGTCGCTCCTGTAAGACTGCATTACGCAG